CCACCGCCAAATTCTACGGACTACCAAAAATCCCAAAGAAAATAACCCACTTCGACCTATTGTATCGCTTCCAGGATCACCTACGTATGAACTTTCAAAATATCTTTATAATATTCTGTATCCATTAGTCAAAAATTCACCTCACACCATCAGAAATGCCACCACTTTCCTTGCCAGTATTGAAAACATTAAACTACGACCAGACGAAATCATGATATCCTACGACGTAACATCACTCTTCACATCCATACCACTAGACATTGCCAAACAAATTACAAACGAACTACTCACAAACGACAAAACTTGGTAAGCTACAACACAACTAGACAAAAATGACATCCTAGACTTACTCAACCTTTGCCTCTCCACTGAATTCACCTTCCAAAACACATACTACAGACAAATTTCAGGCACACCAATGGGATCACCACTATCCACCTTCCTCGCAGAAGCTGTCATGCAACACCTCGAAACACAATCAGTCACAAACAACACAAACATCAGACTATGGAAAAGATATGTCGACGACATCTTTGCCATAGTCAAGAAAGACAAAACTGAACAAATTCTACACACCATAAACAATACCACAAAGAACATTACCTTTATTAAAGACAAAGAGCATGACGAACAACTTACCTTCCTCGACATCCTACTAACCAGAACAGATGACGGTACACTAAACACACAAGTATACCGCAAAACCACCCACACAGACCAAATACTCGATTTCAACAGCAATCATCCAACACAACACAAAATAAGCTGCATTCGAACACTTTTCAACAGGATAAACACTCATTGTAATACGGAAGAAGCCAAAAAAACAGAACGCAACTACTTATACTCCACATTTATTAAAACAACTACCCTAGAAACTTCATAAACAAAACTATATACAAAATACCAAAAACACAAACCGACAAAAGCAACAAAACCGGACGAAACAGTAAAATCGTCACATTACCATACATAAACGGAACATCAGAAATGACTGCCAGACTTCTTCGACCATTTAATATTAACGTCGCCCACAAACCTACACAAAAACTCAAATCATGTTTCACCAAACATAAAGACAAAACAACAATTCATGATACAACTGACGCGATCTACATGATACCATGTAAAGACTGTTCAAAGCAATACATAGGACAAAAATCTAAGAAAATTGAAACAAGACTCACAGAACACAAAAACGCTATAAAACGACGAGATCCGAACTCACTACCGGCAGAACATACCCACGGAAACAACCACACATTCGACTGGACGGAAACTAAAGTACTCGGACGCGCACAGACTAAACACGCACGCGAATTTAAAGAGGCTTGGTACAGTGAAGACAACGACACAATAAACAGACATATCGACATACCCATCATATACTCACAACTAAAGAAAAAGGACAAAAAAACTACAAACAACACCAAAACTAAAACACTACACTCTAATATTATTAACACCAATCATATTAACAACACACCAAAACCCATGGCAATGCATTTCACCCCATCCAATCACATTAATCCACCCACTTATCCAATTAGACGCTGTAAACATCTCCAAGCTAAAAGCACGTGTAAATAAATATCCTCATTCTGATGAAGGCTCGAAGCAACGAGTCGAAAGCTCAATGAAAATCAATTAAAAATCCGGTGAAACTTTTATCTTTTATGTATATATATATATATCTCGATCTTCACTTGTGGTGATAGAGTAATGGGCGAATAAAACATCCCTTTTATACATAGTTGTTTTAAATAATAAAATAGAGACTTTGCCGTGGTGATAAATCTGAAAATAGTTCTAAAGATAGCAAATACCATAGTGAATGGTAAAAGTAATTTAATAAGTTGATAGCTCTTAAAAGAACTGTTTTAAGTTATGTCGTTGTGTCGTTTAATTTAGAAGCTCTTTACTTAAAACAATTGTTTTAAGAACTATCAACTTATTATATTACTTTTACCATTCACTATGGTGTTTAATATCTTTAGAACTATTTATATTTGTTTTAGTTTGTATGTAGGCATCGCCTCGATGAATGTTCCTTGCTGTATATAATCAATCAGACTGTGTAAGATGTTATCTGAAGATTTGAACGTTGAGGGATAACGTTGAACACTGTTTCGCATGTCCACGTAGATAATAAAAAATTTAAAATGCAAGCAGTTGAAAGAAAAAAAAAATTTTTGTTCTCTTTGAAAGGACAGGAGGGGATTTTAAAGAATTTTTTGAACTATGGTGATTCAGTTCGTGTATGAGTGAATGCGTGCTTCCTATACTATAAAGATATCAACTGTTGAAGTTTAAGAAGCAGCTGAATAGCTGCTGTTCAGTCAATACAATTATTTGTGTCTTGCTCACAGCAACATTTTCTCCTTTCGTTTTTATTTTTCTATGTAATATATTTTTATATATAAAAACTGACAGAAAATTATTTCATAAAGTTTATGTTGTTCATATCCCTCCCATCCCGCCCATAAATCCCAGCATTTGTCTGGCGGAGATGGTTTGTACATAATTTCATTACAACTATATTTCTGGCACCTTTTATACCATTATAAATTATGTTAAATTCTCATAAGAGACTTAACCGCAATTTGAAGTTAGACTTCGCTTTCGTGAAATACTGCTTTTGAGCATTTGGAGAAGTGTGACCGACTAAGTCTTCATTGTACGTGTAAGTTTCTTATAATTCCTTCATTCTGCTTTACCATTAGTCATTGTTGCCCAAAATAATCACGTTGTGATATAAATGGGCAGTTTTGTAGCAGCGCTTTTTCGATTGCAACAGTGACACAAGAATAACTGAGAGTAGATGGATGTTGTTGTGTAAAATAGTGTAATCTGTATCTACATTTTTTTAGATCATAATTCTTTCAAAATGAAGATTTTTAGCATAGCATAATACACGTCAATAATCACAAACAATTCTAACCCCCCTTTCTCCTCCGAAAGCGTGGCTTTAGTTTTACAGTTTGCTGAATTATTTCAAAATTTTCTTAATTATTGAAGAGTTTGAACTCATTCCCGGCCTTCAAGACTTAGAGCACACGGTATGTATGCTCGTTATAAATGATCTTCAGAGTGTCCCAAAAGCCCGTACAAATAATTGCGTATGCAATAAATTGAAATCTGCAATAATACAATAGTCTGCAATTCTTGACTTGCAATTCAGCCATGTCGGTGGTCTGATACAAAGAATATTTTATCAGTGTTATTGTTGGCACCAGCCGAGGCGGGCGAGCAACATTGTTTGATAAATCTCAAGAGAATGGTTGCAAGTCAAGAATAGTTATTTGTAACGCCAGTTTAATTTAGTCACACTCTAGTATTTTCATAGTCGATGCAACGTATCGAAAATATGACTGTATTTTGGTGGCAGTTATTACTCAGTTAATGTCACTTTGATTTTAAAAGCTTTTGAGGCAAAATCAGTGTATGATATTAGTACTGTTTTGCGTTGCTGATACTTCGCAAACTCCATCAAATCCTTGAGGGCACGCATTTAGCCACAACTGTAGTTGGGGTGCTGATACTCATTTTATAATCCGTAAAAAACAATGGAATTCAATAGGGGACCAATTACATGGGCGAGTTGTCCCGGCTAGGCCAGTTGACCCGCTTTGCCGAGTTGACTCTCTGTGTATAATTGTTATGTATTATTTACTGTGTGATAACATGGCAAGCTAGTTGTCCCACCTTGCTGGGGTCCCAGTGTTGCTTGCCGAGTTACTCGCTTAGGCGGGATGAAAATTCCCATGTAATTGCAATCTGCTGAGTTGGCTTGGCAAAGCGGGCCAGGGAATTCGACTCGCGCGTGCGTTTATTGGTCAGTTCTAATTGACATAGACTTTAGAACGATGTATGCCTGTCTGTTCAAACAGCAGCTACGAGCTCCAAAAATTCACAGGAAAATTTGGAGCCCAGAAATTTAATTGGGATGGCAAAATAATAAAAGATTTCTGGCGCGTTTTAAAATATGAAACTATCATATAATTGCAATTTTTAACTCGTCTCGGCTAGGCGAGTTCACCCGTTTAAGCAGGACAATTCGCCTCATGTAATCGGCCCTTATACGGCATGTCATGCATATATGAATATACCCCAGCCTCCAATTATTGCTCTACGTGCCTGGCAAAGGGCCAGAACTGTCAAGTACATTGCATTATTTGGCGCAATAATGGCAGTGCATACAATAATTTCATGTGGGTTCTATTTTTTTGGGGGGGTAGGGGGACGTTCTGTATATATAACGATTCTTTTATTGTAACGAGTATATAAATAGCTTTATTTGAAAAATAAAGCAGCTTATGGATTCATTGAAACTGCGTTTCGGGAATCATTATGAGCTTTGCACGTGGCAGAATTGAGCCTCCCCGGAAATGTTATTGTATGCATGCAGTATATCAATAGTTGGTTGTTTAAATCTATATTTTAAAAGGTCCAGTTAAAGTCGACAATTTCGTGTATTTCAAAATGTTTTATTCGTTTAAGGGACAATATAAAGAAAGGATGGATTATTGAACAGACATCGTCACATCGATTAATACGTCGACAATCTACAAAGATTGAAGCATTTATAGGCATAACATGCATGGGGTTCTGTCTAGAAAAAACTGCTGTGATTTTATGTGTTTTCTTGTTATGGTCGCCAATGTTTATGTGATTCAAATTCTTATTGTGATGGTTTCCAACTTCTTGAAGCCAAAATTAACGAAAAGAACCATCGAATCGCAACTTGAAGCCACTTTAGAGGTAAGTACTCACTTTATATATCTACCTTTTGACTGCGTAAGCTTATGCCTATATATTTTTATATTATATTAAACCACAACCCTTCTTATACTTAAAAATTAATATATAACAAAGACTTATAGCAAAGATAATTACTTCGTTTGACTCAGATTGACCAATTTTTTTGTTTATCTCTACTGACAATTTGTTTTGTGTTCTTCATTTGTGTTTACGTTTAACCAATTTTTTCATGGAAGCTGTATTTTTAAAAGCAATTTATTTAAGGAATCAAGCAAGTTCAATTACATTGTCCTTTTCAACGTTATGTTCAGTGAAAATATAATCTAAATAACACAATTTTCCTCTCATATGCACTGCAAAAGGAAAAACACAAAATAATTCGCAATGAAATGTTTGTGAAATATTCATTGATTCGTGTCAACTTGATTGAAAATTAAAAGGAACTTGAGTTCTGGTTTGTTTTTCCATTCATCATTTGACCTTACAGCCGTGTGCACTCGAATAAGAAGATCAGGGAATGTTTTGAGAAAGTATTCCTTTGGATCACCAATTTTATAAAATGTTTCTGGTTGTGGTCTTGGCCGTGGTCGATCACACCAATGCTGGCCAACATTTCTAATAAGTCTTAAGCATTCTGTCCATGAAGATTTATAATGGACCTTGTAGATTTTCCATTTTTCTCGTAAGTGCAAAAATAATCATAGACATCAGTATCCATTTGACTTTTCCAATCTGAGGATTCGCTATTCAATTGTTGAACGACACTTGAAAGGGCATCACTTGTCTTTATTGGTTGTTGGTTTCCAACTTTACACAACATTTCGAACTACTCGTAATCCGACGAAAAATATGGGTGTTTCAACGCTTCGTTGGCTAATGGTCTGTCTTCAGGTTGTCGCTTTAACATCCACGAAAGAAGATCTTTGAGCGTGGAATCCTTGATTTTATCCAAGCCAACAGGTTTTCCATTCAAAAGGTTGTCCAGTAAATGCCGTTCATGTCCAAAAGGATGTTCCCCCTTTGTTGCAACATAATAAGCCACCATTCCTGCGTTCTATTTTTAATAAAAATCACAAACGTAAATATCATAACAGTCACAACGTAAATGGTTGATAGTGAAATGTTAAAAAATCGAGTTTATTTGTTAGTTGCATAAATCAACAGAGTACAAATTTCTACATCAAACACCTACCATAACATCAGACTGTTTCTTATAGCGGGCTGAGTTAATTGATGCATTCACTTCATCATATGATTCTGGAGCTATCCAATTTTTAGCTCCTCTCTGTATGCTCTCATATGTCAAAGTTTCATTTAATAATCTTCGACTTATACCGAAGTCAGCGATTAAAAAATTTCCTTGTACATCTCGAAGAACGTTTGAGGGTCTTAAATCCCGATGAAGTATAGGACGTGGGCCACTGTGAAGATCTGCTAAACCTTTTAAGATGTGCCTCAGGACTTTGGGAAGCTCTATTTGAAGCTCATCTAAGGTAGAAGATTTCACAAAACTTTCCAACGATTCTTCACATAAATCTAACACCAAATATACAAATTCATCCCCTGGTTCTTCTTCCAGATAACAATAATTCACAACATATTTTGAACTCTTTGCATTAAAGTCGTTCAAAACATCTTTTTCTTGCTTGGCTTGTTCAGTGAAGCTATCTCGATAAAGTCGTTTTACTGCTTTTCCATAACCGTCTTTTCCCAGACCAAGATAAACACGGGTTCCATCACTTCCTTTGCCAAGTAAAAACTCTTCGGAGAAGATTACAAATACATCATTAATATATTTAACCTTTGTTGAATGTTTCTTACGATGTTCCTCCATCTTTTTCAACTTTTCATAATGCATTGATGATTTATCAGACAGTATGCCTTAAATTTAAAGAAAAATTAACCATTAAGGAAACAGCAATGAAGGCATTGATGACTTGATTAAGAAGTATCTTAACTTTTTATTACATAACTAAGACTACTAATTCAAATTGTTATTCCCAAACACATATCAAATTGCATCTTACCCCAAGGATGATGTTTGGGTTCCAATTGAACTTTACGTTCGTTAGTAACTAAAGCCACTCCTCCGTTATCATGGTAAACCAGACGAACAGAACCATTAAACATGTCTGCATCATATCCCATGTTCATAAGGACAACGGTAGACTGATGTTTTTCAGTGACAGCTGAAAAAGTCTCAATGGCTAACTTTGAAGCATCATCTTTAAAGTAGTAACCTGTAATGCACTTGGAGATTGGGGTATACATAATTTGATCATATTCTGTAATTTCTTCATGGATTGGATTAAATATCCAGTCTTTTAAAAAATTTCCTTTCATGTTGTAGATGAGGAGTCTATAAAATTTGGGAAAACGTTCGTTTTGATAAGTTATCGTCGTTATGGTGTCATCATCAGAGATAGACAAACATTTCACATCATCAATAATTGGGTAATAATAACCTCTCATCCAGCGAGGCTTCAGAAAGACTTCCCCATTTTTGTAACATCCACATAAGTAGACATTGCGTAGCTCACCGTCAATAAATGCAATGACAATTCTTTCATCTTGTGTTACGGCTATAAACGCATTTTGCGCGTTTTGTTGTCGAGGAAATTTAATGTAGATTGTTGGACTGTACCATTTTTTGAAAAAACTGTTAACATGTGATTCCAAAATGGCTTTTGTCTAGAGCCAGAAAGAACATATACCACGCCATTGTTATCAACTGTCATACATTTAACTTTCGAATCATCAATCTCACAACTTTCTTTACACCACGGTTGAAGCTTTCCTGTTTCGCTGTCAAGTTTTTGGAGTTTGTTTCCAGAAAAATCAGCAGTTCTCCTTCGTTGGTTAAAGTTATTTCTTTATCGACAAATAGGTGAGCTTCATCCTTACGAAAATGAGATACTGACCAAGGCGTTGAGATACTTTTAGTTCCTTCGACAGACATGAAATATAAAGGATGGAACGTTTCCTCGCCACATTTAATCAATGGCCATTCAAGAACTGCGTGCCTTTGGGATGTGTGGTTGGAAATAAAATCTGCCATTGATAAATTGATCTCTAGTACATCGTGATCGACTGTATGTCTCCAATTTAAAATAAAAAAATGCTCTCCAACTTCAGGCAATGAATTTAAGTCTTTTAAGTATAGCATTAAATGATTTCCTGCTGCTTTACTATCATTTAAATGTTTAAGAACAGAGCTTGTGATGCAAATCCTGCACGCAGTTATTTTATCAGCAATTGTTAGTAATGCATCACAAAATTCACGGTAGGCTTTTTCTTCTGCCTGCTCAAACAACTCTTTAGCTGGCGTCAGTCGTATTTTTTTAACTGATTCTCTTATTTCTGTTGACTCTGCATAATTCAACCTTTTAATAGCTTCATTAAATAGACTGAGACTTCCTAGTGTTCCTGATTGGGCATTGATCTTACCAAACCAATCCAGTATTTTAAGGACGTGTGCTGGAACACCCGTAGATAAACTTTTTGTGTTAGATCCATTGTTAATGCAATATTTTGGGAAGCTCAATTCTGGATATTGGTCTTTTTTGTTTTGACAATCTAAAATAGTTTTGGAATTAGCAATAAATAAGGGAATTAAGGAAGGCTAGAATGGTTCATTTGAGAACTAAAATGCATTTGTCATAGCACAAATTCTTAGATAACCTCCACGGAATTGTCATTAATGTGACAATACTGGCCCATGATTACTTGTTTTACAATAGCAATAGTTTATTAAAATATTCTTTTGTATTTGACCACCAACATGGCAACCGTAACGCAAAATGCAATGCAGCTATGTTACCCAAACATTTATGCAGTCTGGATGTTTGTCGAACAACTACCGCAAATAGTTTAAAACTGCTTCAAGCAAAAACTTTGAAATAAGATGTACGGGTCAAAGCCATGCTAGTCTAAAATATTCCCAACTTAAATCCGAAGTATCTTAATTGTTAGGGTTTGACAGTTCTGATTAATTGTAACGAGATTTTTGATTGGCTAACTTCTATACAAGTTGCAGTGGGCTATGTGAAAAATATTGTATATTATTTGTGAGAGAGAAGAACATCTTCATATATCAGATGAATAAATAAAGTTATTTCATGTAAGATTTCATTCCCAAAACAACGTGCCCGCGCAAAAAAACGTTTTGCAATAACATTTCCGAGATTTTTTAATTTCTGGTAGCTTATTTTTTTATTGGATATCATACCTCTGCCTGATGTTTTATCTCAATTACTTTGCTTTTTTTCCTTCATGCAACAGACCTTTCAACTACACTCTCTACAACAGTAGTTACTTTACTGAACGAATGAACGAATAAAAATGAACGAATAAAATATAATATTGCAAATTGTTTGTGAAATAATATTTATCTCATCATCTCAAAATAGAATATTTATTATTTTTTGCGAAATTTAGCTACGCCACTGTTAAATATTCGACCGCTAGCTACGCCACTGTTAAATATTCGAAAATGGACCAATAATTTTAAGCGTACTAAGTAATTTTGCAACACAGCAACGTTTGTAAACTTACATATGTATTTGTAACTTTTAATTGTAAAACCTTCAATTCTTCACTACTTTTTTGCTTCCATCAGATGAGAACCATCGAAACAAGGCAAGTACTGTTTGTAGGTCTTACTTGATAAATAACAATTTTAAAATATCTCAGCATGTGTAATGTTTTGATTGGAAGAAGTTGTGAATTTTCAATTGACTTATTATTCGTGCATGAAATCATCGTTCTTAATATTATAAATCTAGATCATTACATATACTTTTGAAGAAATGGCAAATAAATATTTCAAGATTAGTATATGCTTCCTATCGTAATTCATATCATATTGTCGTAATTCCTAACGCATTTATTACGTTAAGAAGACAAAAATTCTTGTGATAAACTATTGTTGTCGAGTAACTCAACAAAGAAAACGCTCCATATCTTGTTTAACAAATAGCTTGCTTATTCAGTCATGTACAACTTTGAAGTTTCTTTCAAATGACTGCAAGCAAACCTTTATATTTAACAGCAACTTTTGATGTTAGCTTTGTGGCTACTTATAACAGAGATGGCCGCTAAAGGGGTACGCAAGGATAGACACTTGGAGAGCATTCAGATTCGTTATGAATCCCTAACTACAATTAACAAAATGACTTAAGCTAATAACGAAACAAAGACGAAAGATATAAATTATTCCAAAATTGAAACATGTTTGATTCATGTGCATTTGCTGCGTTGAATTTAGTATAAACGCGTAGAGAAAATAACTGGTTTTATAGATATTGATATAGAGTAAATTCTTTATGTCCGTTATAAAGTGCATAGTGTCGCCGAAGCTCAGCATGATGCATGCATAATGATTTTGTCTACGAAGCAATACCTGACTTGTTTAAATGTACAACGTATTCGTTGTTGCTTTTCGATATTTTCTGCTGTCCTCTTAAAAAGGAGTTGCGTCAATTAAAAAACTCAAGCGGCTGTCTTATAAGGGGAGAGAAGACTGGGGCATGAAACACCGTTCTCAACTTTCTTCAATTTTGTCATTATCACAGCAGGAAAAACATGAAGCAAATATAGTTGACTTTAGCTATCTTTTAAACTATAAAAGTTGTGTTGTTGATGAAGATCTAATGTCTACGTCTTATATATTGTAGACAATAGAGAACAAGCTATTCTGAGAGAACAAGCAATTTTGGAATTGTCTTGTGTTTGCTCAGTATATTGCTTCTAAGAAACCGGCCTCGTAAGCTGCTTTCACTTTGATTGTATCTAAATATATTTATCATCAATTTTCATTACTTAATGTAGACTTGACTGGCTCAAAGTTCGCAAACACTAAGAATACGACTTATTTTGCAAATCCAGGATTGGTCTGGTACATCACATACGGTCAGATCGTCCATCAAATAATCGAAATTAAATTAGCAAATTTTTGTTTTGCAATTTTAATTCAAACTTTTGGAATACCAACAGAAAATTTTTCATCATCATCACAGCAGACAAGAGAAAGTACATAGGGAAACAGGGTTGAGCAAATTGTTAAAAATCGTAATATAGCCTGGTTAAAGTTTACAAGTATATGTTGTACTCTTTACTTGGATATGGTGATGGAAAAATACGAAACGACGTTTCGTATAGATTTTTTAAAGCATGAATATTTATTGTTTTAATCAATGTAATCAAACGATTTGTGCATGGAGAGGGATAATTTACAAAGAAAACTGATAAATCATTATAGGGAGAGAGGCTTTTAAGTATTGAAGCAAATTTCAACTTCTTAGCGCTTTATTGTGTATCGTTAGATATTCGAAAGTGAAACTAATAATTTTAAGCGTAATAAGCAATTATGCAACACAATATGTAAACGGTAAACTTACTTATATATTTGTAACTTTTGATTGTAAACCTTTCTCTTCGTCACTACTTTTTTGCTTCCGTCAGATGAGAACCATCGAAACAAGGCAAGTACTATTTGTAGGTCTTACTTGATAAATAAACAATTTTAAAATATCTCAGCTTGTGTAATGTTTTGATTGGAGAAATATGTGAATTTTTAATTGCATTATTATTCGTGCATGAAATCATCGTTCTTCAATTTTATATAAATAGATCATGACATGCATATTTGAAGAAATGGCAAATAAATGTTATAGGATAAGTATATGCTTTCTAAATCTCGAGTAACTCCACAAAGAAAGCGTTTCATGTTTTTTTTACAAATAGCTAGCCTTTTTAATCCTATACAAGTAGAAGTTTCTTTTTTCAAATGACAACAAACAAACCTGTATTTTAACGGCAACTTTTGATGTCTATTGAGGCAACTGTTGTGGCTATTAATAGCCGAGATGGCTGCAAAGATAGAGACTGAAAGAGCAGTCAGATATGTTATTAATCTCTAACTACAGTTAGCTAAATGACAAAGGCTCATGCATAATAACAAAAGTAAGAAGAAATATCGACTTAAATAATTCCAAAAATTGAAGCATGTTCGATTCATGTACATTTACTGCGTTGAATCAAGCTTTAACGGGTAGAGCCATTGGTAGAGCAAATAATTTGTTGTATAAATACTGGTAGAGTAAATTTTTCATATCTGTAATAAACAGTAATATGACTGTATACTACAAGACAAATAAAATATCTCTACATCACTTTCTAAAGCAGTAGTTCTCGTACTGAATTTTAGTGCTTTGTAGCTGCTCATGCATAACATACAATATCATGCTGTGTGTGTAAAGAAAATATGTAAAATGGACTGACGAATCCTAACAGTTTATAGCGCTACGAAACTAGTTCATATACTCTATTCATATACGCTACAAATGCAATGCACATTCAAGGCAGTTCTTTCTGTGAAGCTCAAAATCAAACATACGTTCGGACTGTTCTAGAATGCCATTGACATTGTTGTTGAGAGTTGTCAGTATAAAATGAAAATCATAAAACAAAAATTCAAACATTCCTGGTGTAAGATATTCCATAAAAGTTTTCAAATACTGGGTAGGGTGAAGAAAAACGTCATCGCTCACGTACTTGGTATAAACTGTGAAGCTAAACTCTTAACCAGTTTTATGTAAACTTTAATGACGTATTATAACATTGCAAATGACACACAATTGCTATGGTCAGCGGACACAATCATTGAGTTCTATATGACCTGGAGGGAACAAGGGCCTGGACCAGTGAACTCGACATTTGAATAACTGGAATGATAACCGAAGCCAAAAACTGAAGCCAAAAAAATATTTGTCGTCATCATTCGTCATCACACTTCAGGCTCTAGTCCCTCGCGTGTTCATTTTGATTTTTTTAAATCATTTGTCCCTTGGTAATGGTAGAGTTCAGATCTTGATCAGAGCGTAAAAATAACGAAATTTTTGGATTGAAAAGGTTCACGGAAAGTGAATCAAAGTGATAAATCGAGAAACAAGATGAGGTGAACTTAGTTGATCTGCTCTTACGTTGGGGTTTTCCTTTAAAACAAATCAAAGTCTTTAAGTATATTCAATTATTGATATCGAGATGACAACCATTTAGTATTTCAAGCACTATCAAAATCGATGAAAAATACAATCGCTCTGTAAAAAGTAAAAATGCGAGTTATAGACTCAATATTTTTTATGAAACTGGATATTTAAGTTGTTTTTTTTCTTCGGAAAAACAGATCTTTAAATCCACTGAAATGATAAAAAAAGACAAACACTGTCTGACACCGTTTGAAAATTTACCTTCCAATGTAAGAAAAATTTTTGCTTGAATATTTTCTTGTCCTATTCTCTTATTGTATTGTCTTTTTAGCATACAGTGTGATTTTTAGTTGGCTTTTCCGCGTTACAAGTTGTAAGTTACAACGAACTCACTGTAGTAAAGTTTCAGCTGTAAAAAATAACCTTTTGCGAAGAGTTGGCCTCGTGTGTTGTTTGTCGTGATGTTGTTTATATGTTTATGCTTTTGCTATTTGTATTCAAATTTATATTGGCCGTGTATCTTTGGCACTCAGGAGATTAAAACTGACGTACAAACCGCGTGAATATTCGACTTTGAAGGACTGGAACGGACGTGCAAACCGCGCAAGAGACCAGGATTTGGCTTCAATTTTATATCTATAAAATGTATTGTCGTTATCATTCCAATATATATATATATGTTTAGGGCAGTGGCTAGACTTAGCTTGGAGCCGGTCTAGAATGGAGCCGTAAGGCGCCTCCTTCCCTCCACGAGCCTTGGGTGTGCACCTTAGGCAAGTGCTAGTACACCCTTTGCCTCCCTTGCCAGGGTCACGGCTGGGCGGATGAGCTACTAGAGTGCTAACATTGGCGGTTCTGATAGTCAAATTGGCTTCAGTTTCGGCAAAATGCAACGAGCTTCTCTGTGGTCACCGGCCAGGGCGGAAGGGCTCCACGACGAGCTCAGCGGCCATTATGTCCTCGTGCCTCCAAGGTAGGTTTTTGAGCCAGAGGCTACGACAAGGACAGTCTGATGTAAAACCTACGACCCGTGGATCTCGCTGTCACCGTCGCAGCTCGCTGGGCCATGACAGATGAACCCAGGTGTAAAGGGTGGAGACAGTACTGCGCACACTGCACTTTACTTTAAAACTCGTCTGCGCAGGCTCGAAGGATACGTTCACGTCTGCGACGCCTTCAACTCTATGAAGTACTGTTGCGATGGGAAAGGGGCGAAACCGGCAGGTGAAAGATGCCACTGGAAGCCGCAGTCTCAATCCTGCATACAGGCGGTTTGAGATATTGGTCGCCTGATGTTGACCCGAGATGACAACATCACTCGGCAGCGCCTAGAAAAGGTGGCCTAACCAAAGCTCGTCTCTCATCCCCCCAGTTGGCTTGCCGTGGTCAACGTGCATCTTTACTAGCGGTCGAACAACAACAAAGAAAGGAAGGTATGCACCCACCGGTATGGGTGCAAAAGCACTGAAACTGGCATGTTGGAGCATCAGAACCATGCTTGACAAAGCTGACAGCAACAGACCTGAACGTCGCTCTGCTTTGATTTCACATGAACTGTCCAGGCTAGATGTCGACATTGCTGCCCTCAGCGAAGTTCGCTTCCCCGAAGAAGGCAGCCTTCAGGAGCATGGCGCCAGATATACCCTCTTCTGGTAAGGAAAACCTGCAACAGAAAGGCGTCTCGCAGGCGTCGGCTTCAGGGTTAGAACCTCCATCACTTCCAAGTTGGAAAACCTGCCAACTGGTTATTTTGACGGCATCATGTCCATGCGCCACCCTCTGAAGAACGAAAAGTATGCCACGCTCTTCAGTGTGTATGCCTCAACTCTTCAAGCTGTGCCTGCAGAAAAAGACAAGTTCACTCAGAGCTCCGCAGAGTTCTTCGAAGCACCTCCATAGACGATAAGGTGATAATCCTTGGCGACTTCAACGCCAAAGTGGGAAAAGCTGCTGTTGCCTGGAAAGGAGTGCTTGGCAGACATGGCGTTAGTAACTGCAATGACAACGGGCGCTTGCTGCTGGAGTTTTGCATGGAGCAGCAACTTGTCATCACCAACACCATCTTCCAACAAAAGGGCAGTCTGAAAACAACCTGGATGCATCCTCGGTCCAAACACTGGCACCTTATTGACTACGTTCTAGTGCGCCAACGAGACCTCTAAGGCGTCTTACATACCAGAGTGATGCCCAGCGCAGAATGTCACACTGACCATCGCCTCGTGCGCTGCAAACTCAGACTTCACTTCAAACCAAAACCAAGAAAGGGAGGGCCCCCAAAGAAAATGTTGAAGCTCAGTAGGCTACAATCAGCTGTAGTGAGAGCTGACTTCCAGAAGTGCTTGCAGTTCAAGCTTGAAAACGACGGCTGCCCAGAAGATCCCTCACCTGATTCACTTTGGCTTCATTTGAAAAGAGCCATACTGCAGACATCACAAGAAGTCCTGGGTTCACCACTAAAAAGAACAAAGACTGGTTTGACGAACACAACAAGCAGATCCTGGAATTGCTGGCTAAGAAGAGATCAGCCCACCAAGCTCACCTGGCTCAGCCGTCCTGTCCCGTGAGGAAAGCTGCCTTTCGCTACACTTGCAGCAACCTCCAGCGCAAGCTTCGAGAGATTAAGAACGTGTGGTGGATCAACCTCGCAGAACGAACTCAGCAATCGTGGATCAACCTACAGAGGCTTCTACGAAGCCTTAAGGCAGTGTACGGCCCTACGCACCACGCCCAGAGTCCTTTGCGCAGTGCAGACGGTGAGGCGCTCCTCGCAGACAGGGCGTCTATCCTGAGTCGCTTGTCCGAGCACTTCCACGCCCTCTTCAGCGCTGATCGAGTCGTTCAGTTCTCAGCAATCCTTCGCATCCCTCAGCTCCCAGTTATAGTGGAATTGGACGAACCACCCTCTATGAAAGAACTCACAGAAGTCATAGAGAAGATAAAGAGTGGCAAGGCAGCTGGAGTTGATGGCATCCCACCAGAGATCTAGAAAGATGGAGGCCCAGCGTTACACAGAAAGCTCCACGAACTCCTCGTCTGTTGTTGGGAACAAGGAAAGCTTCCAAGAGACCTCTGTGATGCAGTCATCGTTACCTTGTACAAAAACAAGGGGGAAAGTCAGTCTGCTCCAAGTACCGGGGGATCACTCTGCTTTCGATCGCAGGAAAAATCATTGCTCGTGTGCTCCTGAATAGTCTAATACCTACCATCGCAAAAGACCACCTCTCAGAAAACCAGGGTGGCTTCAGAGCAAACAGGGGTACCACAGACATGGTCTTCGTCCTCAGGCAACTCCTAAAGAAGTGCCGGGAACAGAACAAAGGACTCTATTTAACGTTTGTGAACCTGTCGAAGGCCTTCGACACAGTGAGCAGGAAGGGACTTTGGCTCATTATGGAGAGCCTCGGCTGCCCCCCAAAGTTCCTCAGTATGATCATCTAGCTGCATGAAGACCAGAGCGGCCAAGTCAGGTTGAACAGCACCCTCTCAGAACCCTTCCCCATCGTCAACGGCGTGAAACAGGGTTGTGTCTTGGCTCTGACTCTGTTCAGCATCTTCTTCAGCATGATGCTTAGGAAAGCCACAGAAGACCTTGACGATGACGATGCCGTCTACATTCGCTATCGCCTTGACGGCAGCCTGTTCAACCTCAGGAGGCTGCAAGCCCATACAAAGACCCATGAGCAGATGATCCGAGACCTCCTCTTTGCCGACGACGCTGCCCTTGTTGCCCATACTGAAAGATCCCACATCAGATCCAACAACATTTGAGAAATTAACCTTCCACTCCTCTTCTTTGTAAACGAGACAAGTCTTCTCAAAAGCAGCGAGTCTTATACGCTACAAGTCCATGGGCTTGTGACCCGTATAGCAGAGTTAAAAGGTGAAAGGTTTATCATAGATTAATCAACTGAATATTCCTGCTCATTTTGTTTGGAAGCATGTTGAACAGTTCATATGGACAAAGCTTGAATTCCATATTAAATATCAGTAACATAATCCGGTGTTGATGTTGGACAATACATCATTGCCCTTCAGTGGAAAGCGGATGCTTGTAACAATCTGTGTTTAATATCGATATTCGATTCATTCTTTTCCAGTGGAAAGCGGGATGCTTTCACTGTAATGAGAACAGCTTCGTTTTTTTATAAGACCCTTAATGTTATTGTTTTGAACTACATGCACAATTTCCTTCTTCTTCTTATCGATTCTTTCACGAAGCTCTCTATTAACCTCATTCAAATTCAAGGCAAAGCTCTCCAATTGATCTCCACCAAAGTGCTTGATATGACGCCCATCACCGACAAGAATTTTAACAATATCTACTACGCTATCAAATTGACCAAACACGCCATCTTGAAAAGAAGGAAATTGAACTTCCTTTTCACTACTTGGCAGTTTGTAAAAATATTCAATTCCTTCATTTAGGTGTTCCACTACAACACGAATTAACAAAACATTTTCTTCTATACTTAAAGCAAACAGATCATCAACGCCTAGAGCAACGTGGGCGCATGTCAAGGCGAAAAAATCATCATTCTTGCGATAGAACATTGTCAATGTACATTGAGAACCTCTGTCATTTTGGTTTTCATCCTCAATATCATTCGAAACATGCATGAAATTTGATGATTCATCTATTCTTACAGCACGAAAATTTGATAAATATCGAATCTTTGGTTCTTTGTAAAGTTTACGTCGAAATTCGATAAATTTTGATGCCTCCATTTAAAAATTTCGTCGATTTCTTTCTTCAAATCTTCGTCTGACTTTTGTACATCGCCATCGACTGTGATGAGCATATGGGAATATGGTATAGCCCAGTTTTCACCAATTGGTTCATAATCACCACATATCCATGGCAACCTTAAATATGATGTACTTTTTCAATTGACGACATTATTTTCATATTAGAAACATATTTATAATGCACGTAGGGTATGTAATGTCAAAGTAATCAAAAACTTTTAATTGGTCTAATCGTGATAAAACTGGAAAATTAGCATCCGAATATGATCTTAAAAAGAAGCCAAAACTTATTCAACAAGAGCAAATAAAACAGTTTAACAATAGTTATCTTAACGGAAAATTATTCCCTTTACGACATTCATGCTTTTTTCTTGTTCAATTGCATATTTAAATTATGTATCTTATCAAAATTATATTGTCGTAATTCCTAACGTACTTATATTACGTTAAGAAGACAAAACTTGTTGTTGATATTTGTATACGCAGATGAAGCATGTAAGGTTATTACTTTGACAATCATGATGATTGAAAATTTTGTCAATTTTGTTTGACTGTTGGAAGTTATATTGAACAGTTTCCCTCACAAACACTCACGAAAGACCATGCATCGGCAAAATATATAAAATAAGACAAGCAATGGTGGTGATAAACTGCAACCAACGTTTTTTCATGATAAAAATACTTTGTATTTTCTCAAGAAGAAAGAAGAAAGTTTTGCCCCAATTTTTCAAACCTTTAAGGTCCTAAGGTCTTGTGTTATTGACACAAGACCTTAGGACCTTAAAGAAACCCTTATTTTTTTATGTGTTGAACTTAACATCCATTGAAATTTAAAACATTTCAAGCTTGGTATCAAGGACCTTTGGAGAAAATTTTGCTCTGGATCCCAAAGTTTTTCTCAGTGGCCTTGTTTATGTCATTACATTTACCATAGAAAATGAATAAAATACCTCTCGAGTAGATCGTGCACTTCATCTTTAATGTTGTAATCTTTATCAAGAAATTTTTTTTCGAAAATATCTTCAATATTTGCCATTTCTTTACAATCAACATCTACAAGGATATGTCAGATTTTAAACTACACGCTTGGTCTTTATGTAAAATTACAGTGAATCCACCGTGATCATGATGATCAATTGATAAAATGACATGATGTCAATTGATAAAATAATCTGCACTGAATGCATATAAGAAAAACTTATTTACATACCAAAAAAAATATTATTTGGTGCCCCTTCTTGTGTCTTCTCCGGCAGATTCTTTTTTGTCTATAGATAAATGGTTGTGGAGTTATTTTTATATTCATACATATTCCACTTTATTAGTTTCTTTTGAAAGCAATTCTGATCACGGATTTATAAGATATACGAACAAATGAATATGAGCCCTTCCCCCTAAACTATTAATCTTCCGCGGTCTCTGTTGGAACTTCATAACTAATATCGTTCTTATGAAAGTATTTTGATGTGACAATTTAGCCGCAGCTGCCTGAGTTTTTTTTTCATATATTTAATTATTTTTGGCCCTATTGATTTCATGCTGTTCAGTTAACTTTTTTACTGATTTTCAACTTTGTTTCAGGTTTTAAATGTTTGATGTATAGAACTTTCATTTTGGAATTTTAAACTAGTTCTAAGTCGATAGATTTTGAATGTTATAGTTTCAGAATATTTCCAATACACCATGCACTGACCAATATACCTAGTTATAGAAAATATTATTCCTTGAAAAGCGTAATATTTTGTCTTTATTCTCAAGATATCATCAGACGATCTCAAATTAGAAGGTGTAAAATATTAAGTGTTAGTTATAAGTATTTGCAGCATGTGCAGTTTTATATATAAGACATAAGTAATAACTTACTGCAGTCACCAATAACTTCAATCATTCTCTTGGTGCCTTTCCCTTCACAAACTCGCAAAGAGAATACGTCTAAGCCTGAGACCCTATATGGATGCGTACTTAAGCTGCTTGAGATCCTTTTTAGTTGCCTTTCTGCTTTTTAAACATCTATCCAGGTTGCCAAGGTTATTACATATTCTGCTTGTAAGTATATAAGCTTGTGAGAGGAAAGACATGCTCTAGGAAAATGATTGAAGTTACTCGTAACAGACGTAAGTTACATCTCACGTAAATCAGCAAAACCTAATCCATTTAATGTTCTCAGAAACACTGACCTATTATTTAAAGCATATTGAATTACTTGGCTGAATAAAAGCAATATATAGTAAGCAGACTAATTGCTTTTAAGCTATTTCATGCAAAATGGGAGCAATGGTTCATCTGGATCCACACAATTACAAGACAAACAAGTCAAGCTGGGTTGCTTGATACCTCATCATGATTTTCTTGATGATCAGCTGAATTACTCGGAAAGTCTGGATTCACATCCTTGTTGATGGTTCTGATGTTGTTGGAAGTGACACAAGAGTGTGTTGTTGAAGCTGATGACCCCTATTAATAGATGAAGCCTGAAATTTTACTTCTGGTGAAATTTTACTTCTACTTTTATAACGACACAATCAAAGCACATGGCAGTAAAAAATATAATAAACAAACCAATAACAAACCAAGTATTTTGAACCATTTTATGAAGAAAACCTGTAAGGCTTCAATTTACCTTTCCAGTAACGTCATTACAAATACACGTAAGCTTCTTGTGAAGTTTTATTCGAGGAATCATCTGATAAATATCATGTGGTTCTAAATTGAAAAAATCCTCGCCATCGACTTGATTAGCTTTAAAAATATAAGAAGCAAAACGTCAAAGAAATTACGTTATTGCTGTTGGTATCCTCTAAAAGCGCTCGACCAAATCTGCCTGCTAGCAAAACGTAAACAAGGCAAGTCATCTATAAATCTAATTTTGAATTATTTTCTACACTAGATTTATGCACGAGACAACAACCCTCACACACGCGACCGACATTTCAGGATGAGACAATGCCTTCAAAATCTTCGACAATTTCATCCAATTTGTTGTTTTTCAAAAAAAGAGTAATGTCAGTGACAGATGATTGTTTGTTGATTTCCATTTTGCCCAAAATAGAAGAGTTTAAACGCTCATCATCATCTTATCTTTTCGCGCCAGGGCGATCCATACTCGGGCTGGAAGTTTGGAAGTGTTGCGCGTGTTGTAGCAATCAGTCGAAATCAAGGACGGCATGTGAAGCCTTGCTACTTGTCCCCGTTTAAACGCTTAAAATGCACTTCAACAAAGCACAAGAAGTTTAGAAACACGCCACGCGACTACATACATTGGCAACAGGCAGTCAGGCATGGTTTTGTAGCACCTCAACATGGTGACCGGAAGGTGATCGGAAAGTCCAGATTTACCTATGGATACTTCTCTAATTCTAGCAGGATGACTACAATAAATATGGCTAAGCGCGCATCAGAGGCAGGTCTTGTTACTCTATTTAACATCTGTGTTAATCCAAGACTGTTCAGTGCCTTTGCGAGACAATGTTTTGAATAACAGTTGAAATCAATATAATCTAAATTGAAGTCTCCCAGAATAATCAATTCATTGTTTTGGAGATGGGCATTTTCAATATTTTTACCAAGCTCTCATTATAATCTTTGTTGGCTGAAGGTGGACGGTAAACACCAGATATCAAAATCGGTCTCTTTGATTTATGAGGACAAATTTGAAGCCAGAGAGTTTCAAGATCATCCAGTTCCAAATCTCTTCGATGTGAAGCCATAACTTTCTCATTTACATACGCAATTATGCCGCCACCTTTCTTCCCGATTCGATCTTTTCTGTGTAATGTGTAGCCGGGTATCATGTAATAGCTGTCTGGAATTTTACTTGATCCGAACGTCTCAGTGAGAATTAAGACGTCGAGTTTAGCAGCACTGTTTTTGTTCGAGGTGAGCATTAGAGATAGTTCTTCCAATTTGGTGTCAGTCAGTCTTTTGATGTTCCAGTGGCAGACTGATAAACCTCTGAAGCCTACAGGAGGTTGAAGGTTATTAAGTCCTGGATTAACGGCAATATCCAGATGGAAGAATACACAGACAAAATTGTCCAAGCTTGACGAAGTAAACGACTACATAATGCTGATAAAAACTATTTATTTGTGATACTATCTATTTATTAAAAAATATCTATTTGTGATACAACATTTAAATCAGCAACGCTGATATTTATTGATTATTTACTTTAAAAGTCCTCTTTAATAAAATAGGTAAAATTTTCTCACGTAGAATGTTTGCAATTAAAAACTCCAAACATTTTAGCAGTAGCTATGTTTAAAGGGGTAGTCGGGCCTTAACACAACTTTCGCTCATATGAAAGTGTATATTGTTCTTACCTCTCTCACGAAGTCCTAGGTTTCCAATTCAAATTTAACTCGAGAATAATGCCTTAAATGTGTATTTTTGCCTCTTGTTCGATCGCCATTGTTAATGCAAAGCGAAAGTCCAGCATTTTCGTCGTGACGTCACTTGATCGTTGTCAACATTAGACAAAAATAATAGAAATTACGCATAAGCATATTCATCGTTGCATTTATTTTCTAAGTTTTAAATTATTTTGCGCAATGGATACGGATTACTCAAACGATTCTCTGTAATTATTCTGGAAGCAGTGTTTCAAACTACGAAGAAATGATTAACGATCAAAACATGATTCAACCATATGCTTATGAGCCGATTGAAACAGACTCTAGCGACGAGCCTATGGACGACTCCGACGAAGTTCAGCTGTTGTAACAATGAATGAAGACTCAGCACAATTTGAGGGAATAGATACTCGGACTGTATTACAGATAATCCTTTCGAAATCTTTGTTGAAATTATTGGGTATTACGACTGGCATAGTGAGTACAAACAACACTATGGTTCAAGAGCTGAAGAAGGACCTGAACACAAAGACAAAGACATGTGGCTTACAGGCAACTGGTTCGATGGTGTTGGAATGTATTGCAAGGAAATTAGAGTACCACTATCTTTTGCTGTGAGCTACATTCGAGCACATTTCCAACCACCAGGTCTAGAAGAGGACTTTGTCTTTGAGGGTTTTAAATTAGCTGATGAATAATAATGGTAATGTAAATTATATTAGCCATATTTATAAGTAATGTTAATGATGAATTACTAATAAATAAAAATATAAATTGGATTTAGTAAATGAACAATAAATACAAATTATAATGGTCAAGCCAAACCAATTCTTTATTTGTGCTATGCAAGGATTTTGGTGTACATAATTAAAAAGTGCCTTTGCTAATGAATTTGCATAGCAAAACAAAAAATTGTGCTACTTTACTATTAGAGATTCTCTTATTATTAATTATAAATATTGATATATACATAATTATTTTGGGGGGACTGTTTACCCATTCTTGATTTGTGTGCTTGTAAAACACTTTATTTGTTTGGCTTTTCTATAGATGCAATATTTCTTGTAATGTTTGCTGGTAAAGAAATCTTGTTATGTACATTTTTTACATTAAAACAGCAGACATCTTCCATCATACCTTGCACAAAAGAATATGACTTACTCACCATAATTGGCTTGGCTACCCAATTTTTTCACCCTTTTGGGAACACGATAAGCACAAGTGGAAGGAGGGAAAGTACTTTATTAAAAGTGCTTTTAGATAAAGTATGCTTGCAAGAACCAAGTTGGCAGTGATAGACCACAATGTAAACACTGGCAGAAAACAAGCACAAGTTCAATGTGGAAAGCAGCAAGGGGAAAAGTGATATAATATCGTGTTCCCAAAAGGACAAGAAAATTGGGTAGCCAAGCCAATTATGGCGAGTAAGTCATATTCTTTTGTGCAAGGTATGATGGAAGATGTCTGCTGTTTTAATGTAAAAAATGTACATAACAAGATTTCTTTATCAGCAAACATTTCAAGAAATATTGCATCTATAGAAAAGCCAAACAAAGAAAGTGTTATACAAGCACAATAATAAGAGAATCTCTAATAGTAAAGTAGCCCAATTTTTTGTTTTGCTATGCAAATTCATTAGCAAAGGCACTTTTTAATTATGTACACCAAAATCCTTGCATAGCACAAATAAAGAATTGGTTTGGCTTGGCCATTATAATTTGTATTTATTGTTCATTTACTAAATCCAATTTATATTTTTATTTATTAGTAATTCATCATTAACAATACTTATAAATATGGCTATAATAGTTTACATTACCATTATTATTCATCAGCGAATTTAAAACCCTCAAAGACAAAGTCCTCTTCTAGACCTGGTGGTTGGAAATGTGCTCGAATGTAGCTCACAGCAAAAGATGGTAGTGGTACTCTAATTTCTTTGCCCAATACATTCCAACACCATCGAACCAGTTGCCTGTAAGCCACATGTCTTTGTCTTTTGTGTTCAGGTCCTTCTTCAGCTCTTGAACCATAGTGTTGTTTGTACTCACTCCATGCCAGTCGTAATACCCAATAATTTCAACAAAGATTTCGAAAACAGGATTATCTGTAATACAGTCCGAGTATCTATTCCCTCAAATTGTGCTGAGTCTTCATTCATTGTTACAACAGCTGAACTTCGTCGGAGTCGTCCATAGGCTCGTCGCTAGAGTCTGTTTCAATCGGCTCATAAGCATATGGTTGAATCATGTTTTGATCGTTAATCATTTCTTCGTAGTTTCACTGCTTCCAGAATAATTACTAGAGGAATCGTTTGAGTAATCCGTATCCATTGCGCAAAATAATTTAAAAACTTAGAAAATAAAATGCAACGATGAATATGCTTATGCGTAATTTCTACTTTTGCTAGTATATTTTGTCTAATGTTGACAACGATCACCGCGCAGTGACGTCACGACGAAAAACCGCTGCTGGACTGCGGCTTCGCTTGCATGTACACAAAGGCGATCGAAAAATACACACATTTAAGGCATTATTTCTCGAGTTAAATTTGAATTGGAAACCTAGGATTTCGTGAGAGAGGTAAGAACAATATACACTTTCATATGAGCGAAAGTTGTGTTAAGGTCTGACTACCCCTTTAAGTATTCATTGAAAATCATGTTTTTTCTGTTGCATATAACTTTAAGTAAAGTGTAAAATCACTCAATAAAAACACAAGAAATCGCAATCGAAGGACTCCATATTTAGAAATTTCGCAGGGAGATATGCCGAAGAAAGGCTTACGCCTTTGACGTTCGAGAGTATGCGCCCCCGCAAAAAACGTTCATGTCTTGCTACGCCACTGAAATGTACATGATGCATTTGGTTGATTTGTCAAAAGTTTTTTTTTGTTGACCTCATTGACGACAAAAATTGGTTGCTAAATTTGTTACATTTGCCACATTTGTTACACTTGCTACATTTGCTACGCCACACTTTCTACGTTTGCTAAATTTGTTACACTTACTACAATTCATACACTTACAGCAAGCCATACTTAATACTTACTGAAAACGTTCTTGTCTTTGGCAATAAAACATCAAGGTTAGGATAACGTTTTTTGACACGTATGACACTCGGCCTCAAAAGCAGAAAATTAGGCCTGTTAAGTTTTCGTGAGCTCTGTTTACTTCCGATTCAAAATTCAGTCATTAGAGAAAAAGCTCTTGAATTTACTCCCTGACATCAAGAATTTCCTTTTTTATCGTCTAGTGGAAAGACTAACATGTGTGTTTTAAAGCACACATTCGTACACTGAATGAAGCTTCAAAATCTACTCCTAAGTTCTCGAGGAGTGTATAGTCACTTCAATCATTGCTAGACTTGGAATTTTTGGAAAGAATCATGCTGTAATTGGCGAAATGAGTTTGATATTGTCCACGGGTGCATTGCTAAAGTTTTTACAAAGGGGTTTGTATAAACAGTTAAAATAAACAGTCATGTTATAATGATCTAATAGCTTGCATTTACTCGTTACATATAGGAATGATCAAGCGTTTAAATTCACAAAATCGTAAGCTTATCTTGGAGGTGAATCATTAAAATAAGTGCTTTACAAATTGAAAGTATGGCCTGTTTAATACGTCGCATTTTACATGAGCCGAATGCATTCAAAACAAAAGATAATGAGGAATTTTATCTTCATTTTCGTCTCTTATGCATTTGGCCTATGAAGTGTTGAAGAATTATAAAGAAGGGGCAGAGCCCCCCTTACTTGACAAAAAATTCTAACAAGGGGAGCCGAGCCCTTCTGAGCCCCCTTTCCAATACACCCCTGATATTGTCCACTGAGTCAACGACAGACTAGAGCTTTGAAAATATCTTACATAATCTTACATAAAGTATAACATAAGAATGTTGAGAAAAGCGCGGGGAATTCGGCCATCTTTTACAATTGCTTATTGTTTGATCAAATAAAGCGAAATATAAAGGTTGGAAGTAGAACCTGACGAATTCTTTATATGTTTGCTGTGTGATGGCAAAAAATGAGTGCTTTGAAAATGTGATTTCTACTGAAAGTAAGTTTTAAAATATCAATACTTTTAGTTCGCCAACAGACGGTTTGAGGAACGTTGTTTCATTTATTTATAGATACTGATTTGGATGAACATGTCGACCTAACTCACTCAGGCTCGCACTCAGGTATGCGTTCATTTTTTGTTCTGCATGTTTAGGTTCACTTGTACAATAAAAAACTTTGAATTTTTAGATGTTGAATTCGCCGAACTATTTGAGAAAGTTCCTATTTTAAAAAATATTTTTCTCATGAAGTCTAAGATTGGTGAAGGTAAAATGTTATTAATATCAAAAATATCAATTCTAGCATGCCACTGTGAAACAGCTTATGGAAATCTATTGTTGATTGTTTCTTTTAAAAGTCTAGCAGTAATATAATGCATTGTAGTAATCATAAATCTTTATACATTAATAGGTACATTTAGCAATGTTTACCAGGCTCATCTTGTTGAACATCCAGATGAATTGTTTGCCTTAAAGCACATCATACCTACAAGTTCACCAGATCGTGTTGAAAGAGAAATACGATGTCTACAGGAAATGGGGTAAGTTCTTACATGCTTTGCAAGTTGCAAGACTTTGGCTATCTGATTTTTTTGTAAACTTAAAACAGGAAGACATGATCCAAACTATCTTAGTGTTCATTTTCCCATTATTAACTTTGTCAACATCAGATGGCTATTTGTGCTTGCAAAAGGGAATTGGAAGCTGCATTTAGCAATTGTGAAAATTGACTTTTAGATACGAATTTGCCACACACGTTTGAACATTATATTTTTCAGATATAAAGCTCTTTCAGCCATTGCTCATTCTATTTGTTTTTGCCTAAGGCAAATTTCACCTTGTATAATGTTGTCTTCACAAAAATGTTCTTTTTGTTGTTCACATATCAAGTGTACTTTTACGAATTTTCATGCAAGCTTAACAACATTTGGCATCTGTAAGTTTCTTATAGTCATGGTTCCAATAAAGCCAACAGTATTTAAACATCCACTATATCCCTTTTTGTAACATAAGTCAAGGTCTTATGAACTTTAAAATTTTTATGTCTATGTGCACGGTTTGATGTATGTACATTGAGAGGATAAAAATATGCTGAATGACATATTAATGAAGTTTGCTTTTTTTTGCCAGTGGAAAGAATAATGTGATTGGCTACAAAGGAGCTGTACGACACTATGATCATACTGTCATCATGTTACCATATTTTCCTCATGATAGATTTCAGGTATATGCTTTTGCAGCATGTGAGAATCGGTGAATGCAAAATATTTTTAAGCCATCTTTTGTTCTATGAAAGTTTACCTAACATTTGATTGAAGAGGTTATGTCAATATGATAGTTTGCACTTTTATTAAAAACTATAGCTTCGAGTCAAAGTTTGTTTATTGATTTTTTTATAGACTTACTTTCTTGAGATGACCACATCAGACATAAAAGACTACATGAAGAATCTTTTCATTGCTCTGAAACATATTCACAGTTTTGATATAATTCATCGAGATATTAAACCTGGTAATTTTCTACATTCACGGCAATCTGGAAGGTATGGATTTCACATTTTTAAAAATCTTGTGGAATATTTAGAAGTTTTTCCCACCAAAATAAGCTATAGTTTTGTATATTTCTTACAGATATAATCTTGTTGATTTTGGTTTGGCAATGCATGAATCTCAGTCTAAAAAATCGTGGGAGATAGAGAAGAAAAATGGTAATTTGGACTTGATGCTCACCATCTTTATTGTTGGAGGGGGAAGCAATATTCATACATCTATATGTAAAAAAAATGATTTCTTAGAGACGTAACACGGGAAAAAACATGATTCACGATTTTTCAATTTTTTCCTTAGATAAATACAATCCATATCCAACAGACAAAACTACAAGACCTTCGTCACCAAAAAGGGCGAAGAGAAACGGCCAACCAACGAAGAAGCAACGAACAAGTCCAAGATTTATGAAGATCTCGCACAAACTTAATTCGCGTTCTCATGTTTTCGTTCCTAAAACGAAAGCAAAATGTACGAAGTTGAAAGACATCACGTTCGTTGCGTCCAACAAACACGCAAAATCAAACCTTAACCACGAAACGATGAAAATTTCTCATAAACTTGCCGTAGGACTGTGTCAGACTAAACACAAATCTTATGAAATATGTTCTTTGTGTAGTAAAAGGTTTGTGGATTTTGTATCAATTTGTGAGCTGAATGTTTATTTACACGAATGTAAATGTGTGGAATTTTGGTGCAGCTTAACGTATCGTTAATGTTAACGTTTCTAGAGCAGTACAAAACGCTCCTCGAGCTGGTACATCTGGATTTCGGGCTCCAGAGGTCTTGTTGAAACATCCGGAGCAGACTACAGGTATTTTAAGGAGTTTCGTTTTATTAAATCACATCTGTATACCCACTTTGCAAAGCCCTGTTGTTAAATTGACATTATCGTGTTCGAGAGGTTTCACTCATAAAATTTATGGAAAGTGTAACACTGCATCCATCAAATTTTTTTTCATGTAAAAATGTTTATGGAAAGCTTACTGTATTGTAAATAATTCAAACGAAATCGCGCAGAACCATTAACTTACTTAGTTTAACATGTAATCACATATATGATACAATTACAATATTGGTCATGTTTTTCTGTTAGCCACCATACACAATATGTGGTATACTTTAGATGAGTACACTACAGTTTGTGCTCCAGGAAATTTACAGCTCACGTTGTTTATTTAGCTGTCGATATGTGGTCAGCTGGAGTGATATTGTTATGTCTTTTGACTGGAAAGTATCCTTTCTTTCGCTGTGCAGATGATATGACTGCTTTGGCTCAGATAATGACCGTCTTTGGTAAGCAACGTGTTGTTGAAAGTGCGAAATTCCTGGGTAAGTTTATACAAGTGATATAAGTTTGTGCTGGCGTATGTGTTTCTGGCTTTTTTGTCCCTTATTTTCTTTCGAAAAAAATTATATTATTCGAACTGTATGGTGCTTGATCCGCAGTACAAATTAGTTGAAATCTTTGGAAAGATCTTTTCTGCCATGATGATACAACATAGTTTCGACATTCTTCTATGCATGTATGAAAAAATCATTACCACAGTTGCTTTCACTCTCTCAGCTGAAAATTAATAAACTTGGGCTTCTTATGTTGAAAAAAATTTTAAGCTAATCATATAGTTTGGTGAATCTTATTTTCCATTGTAAGAGCAAGAAATTACAAATCTTTTTTCTTCACGATGACAGAACATATACATAACTCAGTAAAATTCCAATCTAATCAGGTAAATACATGGTGAGCAACTCCACGTGTCCTGGTTATGAACTAAAGGAACTTGCACAAAGATTACGAGCATCAAATATGGAGGAAGAGCGACCTATGAACTGCTGTGAATCCTGCAAAGCAGGTTCAACGGAAAAGCAAGCGTTTACCTCTATAACGGATAAAGCAAATATCGACGGATTGGATGAAGACGAAAAGTTTTGTGTTACATTGAATAATTGCAGATGTAGCAACGATGTAAGTGATCATGTAACTGGCAGAAGAAAATTATATGTAAAATGAATGAGAAAAACGTGCATGCATTCAAAGTAAATGCATCAATGATTCTGACTCAAGAGTTGGAGTTCCCAATGATAAAGATGAAGATCGTACAATGTCGGAAAGTGGTCGGTCCTTTTCGAAAGAGGCGACTGAACGCGAAGGAGGAAAACTTTCCGTGAAAGAACATCTTGATGGAAGCCCATGTTTATGTGTTTGTGGTTTATGTAAGAATTACGTTCCCTTGACCGTGTATGATCTTCTTGAAAGGTGTCTGGATTTAAATCCAACAACAAGAATAACTGCAAGCGAAGCTCTTAGTCATCCTTTCATTTGCGAAAACATCAACTCTTTAGATTGTGCCAAGTTATAGGAAAGTTGATAGTGAGAAGTTAATATGATGAATTGTTGAAGTTAAAATGTGTAAGCCTGTGTCTTGTTAGTTTAAACTGACTACTATTAAATATTAGCTAAATAAACTGTAAATTACACGGCAGATATTCAGGCATCTAGGAATTTTAAGTGCTTCATCTGTGCTTGTCATTTCTAATACGATGCCATATCTGTCTAAGATTGCTATATTTTTGTTCACACCATGAATAGAAGTCAGTATTTGAATTATAAAAATGCATTATTTTTGTATTAATTAACAGTTATAAACTTAGAACTAAATTCTCATTACTTCAATTAGATGCATCTCCGTAATCTTATAATGATAGCATATTAGTTTTTTCTATATCCAACATGTAATATAGAAATTTATACTTTGGGTTGTGTTATCTTTAAATCTACAACGTTTTTGACAGTCCACATCATGATAACATTTAGATTTTAAGAGGTTTGAAAGCATCAGAATTTTTGCTAAATTGTTAATATTAATCCAGTTGGAAACTGTGATATAAAAACTCTATAGCAGGTTGTCGTGGGACGTGATGCGGCCATTTTGTTTCGTCAAATTTTTGACACCTAAAAGAACGTCATTTCTTGCATGAGGTCAAATTAGTTTGCCAGCTAAATTTTCTCAGTATGTTTAAAAAGAGTGCTTTCTGACGACTTTCCCAGACGGGAATGATCGTCAAATAAACTGTTGAGTAGAACTATGTCTTGTATACTATTCATCTTTACCACTTGTTAAAATATCGACATTTTGTCGGTTAAATAAGCCCAGTTTCATTGCAAGAAAGATAGATTCAATACTGTGATTAGAAAGATAAGTTCAATACTGTGTATTTGACGGTTTACATCTCCCAGTGGCATGTTGGCAGAGAGGCAGCTGGCCATTGCGCCCTTACCTATTGTTCTTTTGAAGACGAGGAAGGGAATATGGGGCTTGGAATTTTGATAATTGCTTAATAAAACCTATTTGAAATAACACATAATTTCATCTATCAAAGTAAACGACATTTTATGGCTTCTTAATTTAAAAATTTTCTATGGAGGCATTTTCTCGGACCTCTCCCCCTGGTATGACTCGAACCTATCATTCGTGGTTCTATCGTTTGGCCCTGATTTCTGAAGATCTCTATTTGGAAGGAGGGGGCATTTTATGTGGAAAGTGGTTGCCCTCCAGTAATATTCTCAGAACCTCACTGCCCACTATATACTCAATGGCTAAAATAGGGCCATGTATCTCAAGGTATGTTAAGTTTCGTTGTATAGTATATTCAGTAAATTAATATTAGGTTGGTATTAAATTTATGGTTTTCAATGAGCTACTGTGTTTTATATTTATAAAGGAGATAACGCAGGACATACTAGTTTGCTATTTGTATTGTTTTAAAAATCATATATTGTGGAATTAGAACAATTCTTTTTTCGGGTAATATTCCATAATTTGTTGTTTGCCAAGTTTTGCATCTTTTTCAGCATACAATTGTCCGTTTTACTCCAAAAGGCGTTGCGGTAAAATTGGAGAGAATACGTTCCATATTTTTCCAAAAAATATTCTTCCTTTAGCAGTAATAGTCTAAAATATCTCAAATAGATTTAAGTGCATGTTTTCTTTTTGGTCCAGTTTAAAAACTTTAAAATTCTTGCTCAAAACACTTTCAAGCGCCATTTGAAGCTTCCTGGCTGAAGCTTGCCTGAACAGCAGATTTTTGCGAAACTTCATTTAGAAATTAGAGTAAAACTGCAGAATTCGCATTTAATGTCGTATCCTACATCAAGTATTCTTAAAATTACGTAATCAAAATAGTGTTATATACTCAAAATTGCGAATCTTTGAAGGTGGAAACAAGTGAATTTATACGTTCTACGATAAATTCTACTTATCTATCGTGTTAAAATGTAGTGCCCGATTGAGGGCAACGAAACTGTTTTCTAAGCGACTTTTTTTGCCAAGAATGCTACAATTAATATTCAAAGAAATATTTTTTGTCGTAATTTGAAGTTAATATATGTATTAAGTCTTATTTTAAAATAAACACTAAGAAACGCGTGCGCTGATTGGTCTAGAGCTGTGTTTGCATTAGCCTGTGCAAAACACATCTGAGCTCAACCAATCAAATCAATCAAAACAATTAATCAGTCAAAGAGAGTTTGTAAATGGTCATGAATAAATTTCAGAGGAAAAATTAAAATGTCTGTCTTTTTTGCAATATTGTTATTTTATAAAAGAAATAAAAGATGTTTCATCATCATCATTATTATCATCATCATCTTCATCATCATTGTCATCATCATCATCATCATCATAATCATTGTCATCATCATCATCATCATCATCATCTTCATCATCATCATCATCATCATCACCAGCAGCAGCAGCATCATCATCAACATCATTAGAATCATCATCATAGTCGTCATCATCATCGTCATCAACATTGCTTTCATTAGAAACTTTAAAATATTCAGCATCCTCTAATTTTACCGCTCTCAAAGCTTTATCTAATTTCAAACATATGAAAGTTTTCTCGGATGTGTGCCTATCATCTTCATCATTATCTACTTCACTTACACCGTATGAAAATGGTTGCAAATTTTGTTCAATGTCCAAAAAATAAACCAGTCTACCAGAATCCCCATTATGCAGAAATTGGTTGGAACTTTTCACTTTTACTGCATTCCGATAAAGTTTTTCTCTCTTCTCGGTTTCATTCGTGGCAGTGGCGTAGCTAGGAAAAATAGTCACTCCCGCCAATCCATCTGCGCCGGAGGCGACCAATAGGGGTCCGGGGCATGCTCCCCGGAAAATTTTGAAATCCAGAGCCTTGGAAACAGCATTTCCTGCGATTTCGAGGGCGAATTATTTGTTGTACAATAATTTATAAAACCCATTTTGTTAGCTGCATTCTTAATGTGGCAATCGTTGAAACTGCAACTAGTTAAAAGGTACTAAAGGTGGCTCAGAGAAACGTTACGCAGGAGACAATTGTCCCTAAAACATAATTTACTCATCACTGCCCCTGCATAAACAGAAGAAATTTGTATTAGCACAAAAATAATATAGTATACGACACTTCTAAAGTGCATAGAGAGAGATTTTTCTTAGCATTCTACTTGTTAGTTTAAACTTGTTTAGATTGGGGCAAGTAGACAGGGATGGCTTTATTCTATAAAAGTTATGCTTAATTTTCTCAATGAAGTACCATGTATTATACGAACAAATATCAAAACACATACTATACTCATCATTTATAAAGAAAGGCCAGCCTCCTGGGTTTTCTACAAATTTTCAACCACCTCGTTATGCAACACCTCTGATTCCTCTTTCTTTTCAATGATATCTTTGTGAATAGATATTCTACACAAAGAGCTAAGCCGACCTTGACCCATTCTATTTCTTAAATAGCTTTTACCCTTTTAAGCAAGAGAACGACCTCTCTACTGAAGCACTTGCCACTGCCAACACACCATTCAATTTTAACAAATTTACCACTTGACCTAAACTCGACTGGAGATTAAATTTGAAGATGTATTTAAGAACCTCATTACTGCACTCTTTGTGAAAGTCCTTGTCGTTGTAAATGAAGGAAAGTTGACTCTCCCAAGTTTGGATGTCAAAAAGAGGACTATACTTATCTTTGAGAAGATTGATCTTCTCCTGTGGAACTATGCCCTTCCATGTAGTAAATAGTTTAGGATTTACAAGGTCTAAAAACTCGAACTGATTAATATCTTGAAATCGTTCACTTAACATGCCTTTAATGGAATCAATAATCTCAAAATAAAGCTGTTTGTAATTGTATCTACTATCTGCTCTGGTTGCTGGTGGGCCTACTTTTCTAGTGCAGTTTGGTAAAACTCGGTGAAAGCTTGATCTGTGCGAAGTGACACAATAAACTGCTTGAAATTGTCAATCTTGCTTATGCCATAGTTAAAATGGGTTTCCCTATTTTGAAGAATGGAATACAAAATTGTGGACTGTTCTAAAATCCTGTAAAAAACACACACTAGAAAACAAGAGAAAGCTATCAAGATAATGCAGTAAGCCACTTATTTTACTTAATGACTCATCATCCCACCCAGCTGGTTGTTCAAGTACCCCTCAAAATATCTAAAAGTTTTTCATAGTTTTTGTGCAATACATTGATTAATCTAGAGCGATAATACCATCTTGTTTCACCAGGGCAGGAAACTCAAGGTTGTTAGATGTGAGAAAAGCTTTTCTTTTGGGGCATTGCTTGTAAATGTGCTGAATGTAGCTATATTAATAAAAAGATTTTAACAGGAGAAATTGATGAGGCTGACTGGCATAGGACCAGGTTCAATCTATGAGCTGCACAATGAACAAAATGAGCAAAAGGATACTCTAGTCGAACCAATGCTTGAACACCATTGATATGGCCAGACATGACAGAAGCACCATCATATGTTTGTAAAACCAGTTTTTCTTTTATATTAGAATACTCAACAAGTTTATCTTTGACAACTTGTGATATTGCTGTGGCATTTCTGTTCATACTTACATCCACAAATCCTAATTGCCTCTCCATAATTTCACTTGCTTTGTCAAACCGAGCAATAACACTTAGCTGCTCTTTGGTGGAGACATCAGATGCTTCATCAACCTGAATACTCATAAATGTGCAATCATTTATTTCCTTTCTGATTTCATCTTCAATAATTGAATCAAGACAGCTGATAAGACCATTTTGAATTTCTGGGAGACTCCAGTAAATCTTCTGTCACCAACTATATCAGATTCTGCTAGTCTACTGTGCAGTCGACGCTCAAATACAGAATCAAACTTAGCAAAACATTCGAGCAACTCTCTATAATTACCTTTGTTCAAGCTACCTTCGGACTCATTGTGACCTCTAAATGGCAACTCTTGCTTTGACAAATACAGCACGGCCTCAGTAACAGTTTTAAAATTTCTCGATTTTGTCTTACCTCCTCATTGTGACGCTGAATCTCATTTCTTCTAGCGAGGGACATAAGACAATCAATTCGTTCACTAGCTCCATACGTTTTCCATGTCTTAAATGCAGTCAAATGCGATTTAGATTTTTCATGCTTCTTAGCATCAGACATAATACTCCGCATATCGTTGTAGCCATTCTTAGTCCACGATGGCGATGTTTTGGGGGAAAACATTAGACATGGCCAACAAAACACTTTCTGCAAGGTTGTACTGCCACACAGCCAGTCCTTCGCCTCATACCAATCTCTCTGAAATGCTCTTCCCTTATTTTGGATAGTTAAATCAGGAGTAGGCCGTTCATGAACGATAACATTCTGTTCGACCGACGATAGAGCAGAGAACGGTTTAGCTAATAAGCTATTTACTAAATCAACATCAGTTGAGCAAATCGCAGTCGCACTTGAAGCCATTGTGTCATACACAAATACAAAATAGCAATTTGAGAGTAAACACAATGGAAAATTAATACCGACAATGACACGTAATTTGATAATCACTAATCGCTGTACTTGTATTAAAAGGTCAAATAATTACAACCTCCGCCAATTTAAAATAGCGGGAGTTCGACTATAAAAACAGCAGATTTGAGCATGCGTCAAGTCCCTTAGCCAACCAGAATTCAAAACTTCTTATATAGAATTATATTGTATGTTCCGCCCTCTGAAGATGGGCGGAATACGTGGAGAATCGCGCGAGTATGCAATGTGCGAGAAAAGGCGGTTGCTAGGTTACATAACAAATCTTGAGATTTTGCTGTATTACGATTACGAAATACGAACCACCTAATAAAAGCGTAAATATGAACGAATAAAACATAATATTACAAATTGTTCGTGAAATAATGTATATCTTATGTCCAAATAGAATATTTATTGTTTTTGGGAAATTTCTCCCGCCGGGCGGGAGTAGCGGGACCGCTAGCTACGCCACTGATTCGTGGGTTTAGTCAAATGAGAACAGCTTCGTTTTTATAAAACCCCAAATTTTATTATTTTGAACAACATACACAGTTTCCTTCTTCTTATCGATTCTTTCACGAAGCTCTTTATTAGCCTCATTCAAATTCAAGGCAAAGCTCTCCAAAGATCTCCACCAAAATGCTTGATATGACGTCCATCACCGACAAGAATTTTAACAATATCCACTTCGCTATCAAATTGACCAAACACGCCATCTTGAAAAGAAGGAAATTGAACTTCCTTTTCACTACTTGGCAGTTTGTAAAAATATTCAATTCCTTCATTTAGGTGTTTCACTGCATCACGAATTACCAAAAATTTTGCTTTCGTACTTATAGCAAACAGATCATCAACGCTGCAAGCAACGTGGGCGCATGTCAAGGCGTAATATCTATCATTCTTATGACAGAACATTGTCAATGTACCATGAAAACCCCTGGCCTTTTGGTTTTCATCCTCAATACCACTCGAAACATGCATGAAATTTGATGATTCATCTTTTCTTACGGCACGAAAGTTTGATAAATATCGAATCTTTGGTTTTTTGTAAAGTTTACGTCGAAATTCGATAAATTTTGATGCTTCCCATTTAAAAATTTCGTCGATTTCTTTCTTCAAATCTTCGTCTGACTTTTGTACATCGCCATCCACTGTGATATACAAGTGGGAATATGGTATATCCTCGTTTTCACCGATAGGTTCATAATCACCACATGCCCATGGCAACCTTGATTAAATATGATGTCCTTTTTCAATTGACGATATTATTTTCATATTAAAAACATATTTATAATGCACGTAGGGTATGTTAAATGAAAGTAATTAAAAACTTTCATTTGGTCTAATCGCGATAAAACTGGAAAATTAGCACCCGAAATTGATCTTAAAAGAAGCCAAAACTTATTCAACAAGAGCAAGTAAAACAGAACAACAATAGTTTATCTTAACGGAAATATATTCCCTTTACGACATTCATGCTTTTTGTTTGTTCAATTGCATATTTTAAATTATATATTTTATGAAAATCATATTGTCGTATTTCCTAACGCATTTATATTACGTTAAGAAGACAAAAATTGTTGTTGATATTTGTACACGCAGATGAAGCATGTAAGGTTATTACTTTGACAATCATGATGATCGAAAATTTTGTCCATTTTGTTTGACTGTTGGAAGTTATATTGAAAAGTTTTCAAAAGACCATGCATTGGCAAAATATTGAAAATAAGACAAGCAATGGTGGTGATAAACTGCAACCAACGTTTTTTCATGATGAGAACACTTTGTAATTTCTCAAAAAGTAAGAAGAAAAGTTTGCCTTAGTTTTGCAAACCTTAAGGGCCTTGTGTTATTAACAGAGGACCTTAAAGAAACCCTTATTTTTTATGTGTTAAACTTAACATCCATTGAAATTTAAAATACTTCATGCCTGGCATTAAGGAACCTTTGGAGAAAATTTTGCTCTGGATCTCAAAGTTTTTCTCAGTGGCCTTGTTTATGTCCTTACAATTACCATGAATAAAATACCTCTCGAGTAGATCGTGTACTTCATCTCTAATGTTGTAATCTTTATCAAGAAATTTGTTTTCGAAAATATCTTCCATATTTGATGCTTCTTTACAATCAACATCTACAAGGATATGCCAGATTTTAAACAACACAATTTTGAATTACAGTGAATACACCATGATCATAATTTCAGTTGATAAAATATCTGCACTGAATGCATACAAGAAAAACTTATCTACATACCAAAAAATACTATTCTGTGCCCTTTCTACTTCTTTCTTCCATTCATTATTTGACCTGAAAGCCGTGTGCACTCGAATAATAAGATCAGGGAATGTTTTGAGAAAGTATTCCTTTGGGTCACCAATTTTATAAAATGTTTCAGGTCTTGGCCGTGGTCGATCGCACCAATGCTGGCAAACATTTCGCATGCATCTTAAGCATTCTGTCCATGAAGACCCACACATAATAATTTTTCTATTCACCTCATCCGTGCAAAAATATTCATAGACATCACTATCCATTTGACTTTTCCAATGAGAGGGTTCGCTATTCAGTTGTTGAACGACACTTGAATGGGCATCATTTGTCTTTATTGGTTGTGGGTTTCCAACTTTACACAACATTTCAAACTTCTCGTAATCTGACAAAAAATATGGGTGCTTCAATGCTTCGTTGGCTAATGGTCTGTCTTCAGGTTGTTGCTTTAACATCCACGAAAGAAGATCTTTGAGCGTGGTATCCTTGATTTTATCCAAGCCAACAATGTTTCCATTCAAAAGGTTATCCAGTAAATGCCGCTCATGTCCAAAGGATGTTCCCCTTTGTTGCAACATAATAAGCCACCATTCCTGCGTTCTATTTTCAATAGAAAGATATCATATCAGTCACAACGTAAATGGTTGATAGTGAAACGTTAAAAAGTCGAGTTTTTTGGTTAGTTGCAGAATTCAACAGTATTTGAAATTCCACTACAAATACCTACCATAACATCAGACTGTTTCTTGTAGCGGGATGAGTCAATTGCTTTATTGCCTTCATTATACGACTCTGGAGCTATCCAATTTTTAGCTCCTCTCTGTATGCTCTCATATGTCGAAGTTTCATTTAATAGTCTTCGACTTATACCGAAGTCAGCGATTAAAAAATTTCCTTGTACATCTCGAAGAACGTTTGAGGGTCTTATATCACGGTGAAGTATAGGACTTGGGTAACTGTGAAGATCTGCTAAACCTTTTAAGATGTGCCTCATGACTTTGGGAAGCGCTATTTGAAGCTCATCTAAAGTAGAAGATTTAACAAAACTTTCCAACGATTCTTCACATAAATCTAATACCAAATAGGCAAATTCATCCTCCGGTTCCTCTTCCAGGTAACAATAATTCACAACATATTTTGAACGCTTTGCATTAAAGTCGTTCAAAATATCTTTCTTGCTTGGCTTGTTCAGTGAAACTATCTCTATTAAGTCGTTTCACGGCTTTTCCATAACCGTCTTTTCCCAGTCCAAGATAAACACGGGTTCCATCACTTCCTTTGCCAAGTAAAAACTCTTTCGAGAAAATAACAAGTACATCATTTACATATTTAACCTTTGTTGGATTTGTCTTACGACATTCCTCCATCTTTTTCAACTTTTCATGATGCATTAATGATTTATCAATGCACGTCCAAGGTTCAGACTCTATGCCTTAAATTTAAAGAAAAAATTAACCGTTGAGGAAACAGCAATGAAAGCATGTATACATTACGATAAACTTGTTACTGTATTCTATTATAAATTACCTATAGCTGGTAACGATTCCGTGTTCTACAAACACGCAAAATCGAAACCAAATACAAACTCTAATCCTTAACCTTATATTACTAGTCCAACATATTGGTTAGAGATTTTATGAGGGATCCATATCACGTGTTAAAAGACGGAACTATAGCCGCCTGACACCCGTCTTTAACCGTCTCCGTAGATTGTTTTCAACAATTTACTCGCAAGTGATCTCACTTGCATATCTCACGTGCCTCCTTAGCAAAAATCAATCATCAAAGTTAAATTACTTTAAAGCCCTTCGCACTCAATAGGTCAAGAAATTTTACTCATTTTAATACATAAAATCATGACATTAACAGGTAATTTTGAACAGATTATTTCTAAATTACACTTAGTTGATGATTGCTAAGTCACATAAACAAATGTAGACTACCGATAGCACTTTCTCTCATCAACTATTTTACCTAGTAGATTACATAACAAGTGAGCGAAATCAATCACTACCGAATTTGAAATCTAAGGAAAATTTATTTAGGTTTTAAAAAAGTAGAGTAATTTGTTCCCAACAAAAATGTGTGTCACTATATTCCATGGCAAAGGAGGAGATATCAACTTTTTTCCTTTACTGGAATTCCTACTTGATACTGTAGCATTTTTTTGCAATCCAATAGGCTAAAAACTGTCCGCTATTAAACTTACTAATAATTTCCTGTTTTCGTACATCCTCTCGTTCCTCCTCCCGTACCTCATGCCATACATCTTCTCGTTCCTCCTCTGGCAGCTTTTGTCGTACATCTTGTCGTTCCTCCTCGGGCAATTCTTGCCGTACACCTTTCCGTTGCTCCATCGGCAGATCTTGTCCTACATCTGTACCTACTATCTTCCACCCTTTTCTCGATTCTTCTAGATGTTACATAATTAACAAAATCTTTTATTTTTATATCAATACAATTTATTGTTGTTTGAAAAGTTTAAGTTAACAATTCAACTACAGAGTTTCAGTTTACCTCCTTGTTGTTGATAAACTAGTCAACACATAAGATAATGCACAAAACAATGGATTTCAAAGAAACCAAATGCAGCATGTCATGTGTATATAAATATCCCCTTCCCCCCACAAATCATATATCTTCTTACGTACATGGCGTGAATAAGGCACAAGTTAACAATATACAGCTACCTCAATTAACCCAGCTTTTCTAGTTCAATTTATAATTCAGAAACAGTACAATTTTAGTACCTTATTATAGGGGAGTAGGATTTCAAGCCGTTTAGATGTTTATGTTTTGTTAACAATTCGTTTTATGCTCACCAAATTATGCTAAAATTCTACATTTTGTTTTCAATTATTTTTAGTTAAAAAATATCAATATTTCTTATAAAGTAAATCACACAAGGCCACCACAATCAGAACATTGACAAGACGTGCACAAATCATTTGTGATTCGCCGGACGCTCTACACAACGAAAATCTCAAACGTGGTTTTGACAAAAACAACTATAACTCTGACTTTATTAAACGCAAAACTTACAAACACAACGAACCTAACGAAACGAACAACTCAGTGACAACAGCAACGATACCTTACATCAAAGTACGTCTGAGACTATTTTGTGTATCTTACGACCATACAACATACGTGTCGCACATAAACCAATCACAACGTTACGACAAGTACTAACGAACATAAAGAACAAAGAACAACCCAACGAACGACAAGGTGCAGTTTACAAAATAAACTGCTCCGACTGAGACGACTCCTATATCGGGGAAATTGGCAAGAACTTAAACATAAGACTTACCAAACACAAACAAGCTACTAAGAAACAAAACAAAACTAATCACATTGCCGAACATCACCTAATCACAAAGCACAACATTGACTGGGACTCGGCAAAATGCATTACTTACAGTACTGACTATAGACAACGGCTTACATAAGAAAGTTGGTTTACCAACTTGGAACAAACCCCCCTGAACAGATCACAGCAATTACCGGTACCTTACAAACGACTTATTCACAATGCAAACAAATGATCAACTAAAAACATTACACATCACACTAATTCATAATGGCAATACACATTTCCTGTACACACAATACAATGACGTAAGAACCAGATGGCAAATACGGCTAATCTGACTTTTACTCCTCATTAACTCTGAAGATGACTACCGCTAGGGTTGTCGAAAAGTCAGTTTACAACAACAAAAACAGAAGATGACTACCGCTAAGGATGTCGAAACGTCAGTCAACAACAACAAAAACAGTCCTTCTCAGGACTTTATTAACCTGGACGATCATCATTTACAAACATATAACGATACTCCCGGGTTCAAACCATTTACTTTATGATGATGTAAATTAGTTGAAACTTTACATCATCATCCCCTTAGTATAAAACTCGGAAAAATACACTGACAAGGCAAATTATACAACAATATCGCCATACATATAAATACACTTTAAACATTCATGTACACTTTTTATAATTCTAAGTCTACTTCAGTTGTAGTCGCGATAGGAAAACATATATCTGTATAGTAATAAATGACTTATATGCAGGATCAGAGTAAGTAAAGGCTCGGAATATTATATTATTCCATGCAGATGAAGTATGACAAATATATGTATGACAATCATACAAGTTTATATTGGAAAATCATTAAACAATTAATTGACACTAATCGGCGAACTTACTATTCCCAAGCAGAAGAAAAGAAATTGCATAGGCTACTACCAACTCCATCCACGGTGTCTTGATCAACCTGATCAGATAGTTTAACACTCTTTCTATTTCATGAACTAAACCTCCTGTTTACACTCTTGTAATGCCAGGAGCAGTGTTTTTATATTAGCAAGTTGCCCATTTCTATCAAACCAGGTGTTCAGCACATATCGTGTGGGGTTGTCTGAGAATTTTTTATGTATGATGCATAAATAACCTCTTAGGCGTGCGACAACTCGAAATGGCTTTTACCTTGCAATTTTTCTGCAAGATCTCGACGACCAATACTGCATAAAGCTTCAGCCAATTTATTTGAAGTGGCATCTCTTCCATTTTTCTTTTGCCATTTTGAAAGCATTTGATATGCTTTTACATTCACAGAATGATTATAATCAGCATTTATCCCTTCCAATTCTGATTTACTTATTCTCAACTTTATACCCAGCACTTTCCAATCATCTATTAGCTCTTTGGCAATTTCCATTACTAAAGAATTCATTTATAATTCCAACAAGTTTTATTCAAACAATCATCAAAATCTCGGTATTTACTCCCTATGTCAATCTATTAAAATAAATGTGCCAGGCTAAAAGCAAAGACTAAAAACCTCCAATTTATGAGTGAAATAAATAAAAAAAGGGTCTGCATTACTATAATCCTGCAGTTGCAGCTAGAAATGATTAAAGAATCAGGGTCATGCCTTGCACGCTTATTTTACTATTATCTTCCGAGAACTGTCCACTGAAGAGTGTAATTCATTGAACTAAAATACATGGAACGCAGTCGCTACCTGTAATAGAAAAGTCTAATTACTTTTTAAAGCCAAGTCTTACACCCAGAAACGCAATATTACACCCAAATACGCGGGTGTAATCAATCAATTGTCATTCCGCTAAAGAATCGCAAACACTACACACGCGTGTCTTGTTATAATCTCGCGTGTCTGCGTCTAAGATTTGGCTTCAATTATTTGCTTCAGGTAGCGTCCCATGTATACTAGTTCAATTGGTCTCTGCATGGAGAGTACAATACATCTATTCAAAGCCCACTTTCTGTACGCTCTTCTACAATGATGTTACGTCTTTAGGTTACGTGGTTCTATCTTTTTCATTAACTTCACTGTATATTTGGTAAAATATTTGTTTCCACGTTATATTTTGGTCAAATTGTGGTCAGGTCGAACCTAACCTAAATACGACGGTTATACAACGTCGTGTGTTGGTTGTAGTTTGGTTAGGTCAAAGACGACCAAAATACGACGTTTACATAACGTGGCGTTTTGGTAGTACATTTGGTTTGGTCGAAGACGACCAAAATACGACGTTCAAAGGTCAACGTGTAAAAGTATAAACGTTGTTTCAACGTTATAAAAGTCTATTCAGAAAACGTTATGAGAAGGGATTTTCAATACGTTCATAAAACATTTTAGAAAAAACACAATTCAACGTTAAATCACATCGTCACTCCAAACGTTGAAAACATGTATGAATAATATAGAATCCTTTAATTGTCATAAAAAATCTGATCAATAGCATAATGCACTAAATCTCTTCAAATGTAGTGATGTTTATCATAGAAATATTACGCGATAAATTTGCTTTGAATAAACATATTAGCACAAATACGGAGTTTTTCGCACGCGTTCCCTATAAATTTCAACATTGATGGACAAGGTTTTCGTCGATTGCTCTCGAATTTCACTTGATAGTTTAATAAGGTTTTCATTTTCACAAAATAATAAATAACCATGTTCACATATTAAATAACTATGTTTCACAAAATATTGAATAACAATGACAATAAAAATAGGTATGCAATGCGTACACGTAGGTAGCCTATTAAGTAAATGGGCTAGATGAAGTAGGTAAATGAACATAATTGAAATAAAATTGTATAGTTAATATAATTTACACCAAACTTGTCCAATATTTAAATATTGATTTTAGTTATATGGCTAAGTAAGTGTTTAATCATTTCTGCATTTTTTGAACGTTTTAGCTTAGATTGAACCTAAGCCTCATAATTGCATGTGCTTACAAAAATCGCACCAAGGAAAGTCACGTCATTTAGATTTCTTGCGACTTTTGAAGTCTTTTTTTCAGTGTAAACTATTTTTCTATGATTTTGTTTTAAAAACGTTTTCTAACGTGTCTTAGATGTCGTTCAGAGAACGTTGTTCCCCGTAACGATGAAGACTGTATTTGTTTGAACAAGTACAGCAGTGCTAATGTTTTCTCATCACGCATGCGGCGATTCTCAGAGAACATAAATGTGGAAATATAAAGTAAAAAATGCTAGGTTGTATTAAAATTGAAGAATGTTATCGAATTATTCATGGTAATATTTCGATTGTTACCAGAAATCTCTACCTGAAAATTATGCGCTACATCATATCAAATGTCTCAGAGAACATAAAATGTCTGATAGCAAGTTCTCTAAGATTCATCTGTTTGTGCTGTTTTGTGATGACTTACCGGATCGCTTCGAATTGATAAAAGTAGTGGCCGATGTGCTGGTATTCGAAGACGAGGTTTCTAAATTCAAGAAAACAATAGGAAATTTTATCAATTCAACACAAAGAAATGGAATAGAGATATAACCAGTTTGGAAACTAACTTAGTGTAGAGTAGAGCATCAGTTTTACTTTGTGCTTATATAATTTATTACTTTGAGCAGTTGATTATTGCAAAACTGAAGAATGTTATCAAGTTCGACGCAATTTAACTAATCTGTTGTATTCTCACAAGGTTTATTTCATACGGACTTGTAAGTCAATGAGAACATTTGAATTTGAAAATTGATATTATTACTATAAAGAGATCGTCCACACTTGCTTAGCAAGCAAAAAAGTTTTTAGCTTTTCAAAAATCTATTTCAATTGTATGCATATTTGTCTGCATATTTACAGTGAAGAATATATATTGTAGCTATTCTTTTCGACACATAATATAATAATTACAAATGAGGCATATTTCCTTGTAAAGATTAAGATACAAGAAATTTTCACGCTAGTATTGATTATTTTATTTTCTTGCATTTAAGGTTCATTGCATTAAACAGAATTCACGTTATTCATCACTGTTTTAACATTCAAAGAAACTTTTAACTTGCACCTTTCTAAGCGAGTCAGACAGGCGCGTCGGAAGGAACATAAAAGGGAGGGCACATTTTAAAATTATGAGTACCGATGTGTGCAATTAACATGTTATCTAATAGTCTCCATTTAGAATTTTGTCAACACCGGTCGTTTAATTGCGAACGTAATAAACTAATGGGAAAAAATTGCAAGAGATTTCTACGTGATTCTTTAGATTCCACTCACTGCACTGTTGATATGTGTGTTTTATAATCAAATAAACTATTTCTAAACATTCTCCTTGGTGGTAAGTTTCCTATCTCGAAGCAAAGTAGGGGGGAAGACATTCCCCTTCTGAGAAAAGGTGGGGTAAGCCCCCTTCATCTCCACTTCCGACGCCACTGGTCTCCGAAAACATAAAATGTCAGTTAGCAAGTTCTTCAAGATTCAATTGTCTGCGCTGTTTTATGATGACTTACTAGATGGCTCCGAATTGATAAAAGCAGCGGACGATGTGATGGCATTTAATGACGAGTTTTCTAAATTAAAAATAAAATAACAGAAATTTTAACACTAGAACAAAAAGAACAGAATAGCATCATACAACTATGCAGCTTAAAAATGAGTTAGTATGGGGTATAGCATAAACATCAGTTTTACTTCATGTCACTATAATTTAACTCTTTGTATCAAAAATATCCCAATATTTAAAATGCCATGAGTGGCAATGCTGTAAAGTCCTTGGAAATGATCTTCACTTACACTTAAAATTTTTTTTCGCTAATTAAACATAAATAATTCATTCTAATGTCAAGAATTCCTTTCTGTATGCTTGCATGCTGTAAGGCGGTGAGTAAAATTTAATAAGTGATCTTTTGCAGGTAACAAAAATTATTTTTGCTTTTTCTAAAGCCCAATAGGAAGCCTTATAGTTACAACATAAAATGACTAGTAAGTTTATTAATCAAAAAAGTTTTTACAGAGGTCATGGACATCGTGTTTAAAATTTAATGTGAAAAATTTAGTTCATGCTCTATTACTTTTATGAACTGAATATGGTTGATGCAATGTTAAAATAGATTAATAAACCTGATACTGAAAGCGACCAACCACTCAAAGTTTTTTTAACACTTGGAGCTGAGTCTAAATCTGTTATCAATTCCATGTTCATCCACTTCAACGTCGCGTCCACATCTCCATACCTACGGTTTCCTTTAACAAAATGAACTACACCTATTTTTCTAGACACTAATGCAACGTTTTCGCCAGCATACTGAACGATGCGTAATGAATCGTCAAAAATTTCCGAGTCATATCCAGTGTTTATCAGGATTATAGGCAACTGAAATTTTTCGGTTTCAACAGAATAAGTCTCAATCACCAGCTTTGATTTGTCAAAGAAAAAACCTGTGACACTGTTGGTGACGGGAGTATAAATGACTTGATTGTAAGAATTGATTTCGTCATTGTGTGGTCGAAATTTCCATTTTTTAACAAATGTTCCGTCCATCGCACTCTTGATAATTCGGTAAATTTTGGGTGATCTATAAGTCACAATGACTATGTTGTCGTCGGAGGAAATGGACAAATATTTCACTTCATCATCAATTGGTTTATGTTTACCCTTTGCTACAAATGACGTATTAAGGTGGCCTTTACTGTTATGCACATACATCATGACGTAGCTTTCATCCTTAGTGACAGTAGCAATGATAATATTGCCATTTGGTGCTACAGCAAGAAAAATGTTACTAAATTCTATTTCTTCACGAAAGCACACGGAACATTTTTGAACAATTTTGTCTTCCAAACAAAGCAACAATGTATAATCGCTATTCGATTTGTCTTTGCATCCCAAAAGTAGATATACTACGCCATTTTCATCAACGTTCATGCATTTTACTTGCCTATTTTCAACATCCGACCATTGAAACTGACACCACTTTTCAAACACTTTAGTTTTGCTGTTAAGTTTTGGAGTTCATTTCTATCAAAATTAGTAATCCTCCTTCTTTGTTTACGATCATGTTTTCGAGGTCAGTATTCTTTGTAAAGTGAGTTGAGTACCAAGGTAATAAGTTAGAAGTGTTTTCTTCAATCTTCTTGCAATAAAAAGGATGAATCAACTGCTCATTATATTGAATCTGGGGCCATTCCAAAACAGGCATCCTTTTGTTTGTGTGCTTAAAGATGAAATTGGCCAACGACAAGTTGATATCAATTATTGTGTCAAGGGCTTCACTTCCCATGTAGTCGTGATATTTGGCTTTTTTTCCCGCGACAATCGAGGAGTTTAAATCTTTCAGACATAGCATGAAATCCTTGTTGCTAAACCGCAGTTATCTGAATGTTCAAGAATAGCGCTTGCAATGCGTATCTTGCTTGCTTTTATTTTCTCTTCAGTGCTTGACAAATCATTTTCAAACGCCTCTTTCGCTTTCTCTCCGGCCAATTTGAAACGCGTTCGACATGATTGAGATACATTTATTGTTGGTACCTGTGTCGATGACGATGTTTCACATTCAGTCGACTCTGGCATGCGTTTCAGCTCTTCAACTCCTTCCTTAAAGTGAATGAAACTGCAACGAAGATCATTTGCCAATTCCTCGTATATTTTCTTTAATTCATCGTTAAATGCATCCAAAATATGCATTCCATTTCGGCCTTCCTCGACATCCACAACTATGCTCAAAGCTGATTTTATTATTGCTTCCATCACTAAAAGAATTACGCTCAAAGAGAGGCTAAATATACCCAAAGATTATAACGTCTTTTTAAAGCTACTAAAGCATATGAACATGAACACCAAAATTAAACCAAAAATTCGCAGATACGTGGCTAGAAACGAAATTTAGAAAGTTATGAGCTGAATAACCAGAAAAATGGCGTCACGCAAGTGTTGCTTTAAAATGGAATTTACATTGCAAATACATAAAAATCATTCATGCTTGCTGTAGTCATTGTATTCTAAAACATTTTTCGTCCAAATATTTAGCAGTCCTAATTTTTGCTCACCATAAGAACATAATATCTGAACAATATGATAATGATCTGAAGTTAAAATTTGAACAATAGACAATGATGTACAAGAAATACTTTAAAATGTTAAAAGATTATATAAATAGTATGGTGCACGCAAGCAACAATTGTTATGTTTTACACCCACGACCTTGGCAAACTAACGTTTTATCGGGAAAACATTATAAATACATTTATAAATCCAAGTAAGAATATACGCATTAAAGCTACGAAAGTTATGAACAGTGACCGGTAAAGTTTAATCAAGAAAATCGAACAGTAGAAAGTGAACTAACTTAGTCACGATCAGAAATTGGCGTAAAGCGGTGAAGGCTATTTCAGATATGGTAGAGCACCTTGTGCCCAGGCCCTTTAGCTTTAACTTGTCTACTTAAAGCTATTAATAATTAATTTTCAGCATATTTACATATTACATCGCGCTTACTCTTTCGCAACATGGAAGATTATACTTTATCTGATTTACATAATCCAAAAATTGACAATATTGTCAACGAAGAAAATCCTTTTTTCGGTTATGTAAGTTCTTTGGAAAAAGCGCTTGAGCTCGTGAGGGATTTTGAAAACGCGACCACGACAAAATTCAGGCCCCGTCCACACGTATACGGATATTTTTGAAAACGGAGGTTTTTTCCTCCGTTTTGGCCTTGCGTCCACACGTAAACGGCGTTTTCGGTGACCATAAACGGAGGTTTTCGAATACGCTCTCCAGAGTGAAGACTTTTGAAAACGCCGGTTTTGTGTTTACGTGTGGACGGGCGAAAACGGAGGTTTTTGAAAACGATGACGTCAATAATGGAGCCCAGTCTCACGAATTTAGTCAAACGAGTACTTTTTAAAATGGCGGATCACAAGTGCATTGCTATTTTCTTTGGAATAATTTCAAATTCGATAGCATGCATTAACTTGCACGTTGCAATGATAAACTTTCATGGGCAATATTTAAGAAAGCGGATGAATATCATGAAGTTGCTTTCGGTGTCACAAGATGCCACAAAAGTTTTAAAACGAGTAAAGAAAAAAAAAGTTAGACCACGAAGATTTTGGACAAGGCCGGGACGAACAAGTGCTTGGTGGGACAACTTTGCCAGTGAAATAATCGTAGCAGAGGAATGGAGGGAGAACTTTAGGATGAGCAGAGAATCGATCAACTCTTTGGCGGAAGAATTAAGACCATACATCGAAGGGAAAAACACTATAATGAGGAAATCAGTCGACGTTGTGAAGCAAGTAGCCGTCACATTATATTATTTGAGCGACGAGGGTCGTATGCGGAAAACAGCTAACGCTTTTGGGCTTTCACGGCAATCTGTGTCAAAAATCGTCCGGAAAGTGTGTAAAGCCATAACAATTTATCTTGGTCCAAAATATATTAAACTTCCAAGGACTGAGGAAGAAGTAAATTGTCTGGTAAAAAAGTTCCATAGAGCGCACGGTTTCCCTCAATGTTTGGGAGCAATTGATGGAACCCACATAGAAATTAGGCAGCCTAATGCAAACTCAACAGATTACATCAATCGTAAGGGTCGTTATAGCCTTAATGTTGAAGCTGCTTGTGATTATAATTATTGTTTCATGGATGTTGTTGTCAAATGGCCCGGGAGTGTGCATGATGCTAGAGTATTTTAAAACTCTAGTCTAAATTCTTCCTTAAAGAGTGGAAAAATTCCACCGTGCAAACGTACAATCCTTCCTGATGAGGATCCTGTGCCTGTATTCATTCTGGGAGATCCTGCATATCCACTTATGCCGTATGTTATGAAGGAGTATTCAAATGGTGGGTCAACTGTGCAAGAACAATACTTCGGTTTGACCTTGTGCAAGGCTCGCATGGTAATTGAATGTCCATTTGGCCGCGTTAAAGCTAGATTTGGAGCTTTAAAGAGAGCAATGGATATAAATATGGATGAGCTACCATGTGTCATTTATGCATGTTTTGTGCTTCATAATTACTGTGAGATAAACAATGAAAAGATTGGAGAAGAAAAGGTTTCCTCTGCCATTGATTACGATAGAGAGTTTCAACCAGCTGTTGTTACTAACAATTTCACCACTGATTGCAATGAAAGTGAGGGTAAGAAAACAAGAAGGATTTTGACCAAGTACTTTGATCCTTGAGAATCTGATGTGTTTGAAAATATAGAACCTTTTGCACCAATACTTCTTGTAAATATACTTATAATAGATTGAACATGATAGCTTTTCCAAGATTGACCGTGACACAACATTGACATATTGATTTTTAATTTAATTATGTTGGAAAAGTATTATTTGAACATAATATTAATCTACTCAGGGGCGGATCCAGGATTTTTAATTCCTTAGTCGGAAGGGCGTGGTCGAACAAAATTTTAATAAATGGGCGTGGTCGCATTAGCTAAAAATTCTGCTAACGCAACATTGTTAATATGATGAATTATAAGGACTGTTTCACCCTATATCAGAGCTCATCAGCATGCCTAGGAAATGGCACCCTCACCACGTGAAAATGCAATTCCGACACGGACAGCCTCAACGTAATGAGAAGCCTTAAACAAAAAGAGAGCAGTCTGGTTTTAAGGCGCCAGATACTCGCCTTTCACACCTTTGCAACAAAGCAACAGGAGTTTGATTAGAAAAAGCGACAACGTGGGACATTTCAAAGATGTAAAATTGCTCAGTTTTCTACATCATCCCTGTAATTCTAATCCTTTAACCTCGCCCCAAGAATATGCACACACATAATCTGAATCTAATGGTTATTTTGCCGAGCTAAACAGAAAAGTAACACAAACCACCGCTAAAGAAAACGTCGAAACGCTGACCTAAACATTAAATTTCCATAAATTTTGACGATACTCCAAGCTCAAACGGATTTCTTTTATAAAAAGGTATTGTTTAGGAAAAGATATGCTATTGACTGGTGACACAGATAACTTATTAATTCCTTTGAGAGCATGACTCCAAATGTCAGTAACCCTGTTAATGATGAAGTTAAATATTTGGTCTTTCATAAGGTCAATTGTTCCTTCACAAGTATCACAATTAGACAAAGTTGTTGTTATTCCCAGATCAAAACGCATATGCATTAATTAAGACCTTACAAAAGGTGAATATTTCTTGTATGTTAGGTAACTTCATCAAAACGCGCATCATATATATTTTAAGATGTAGATGGTTAGTATAGTCCTTAGAAGGACTGTTGGTGTTGATGTTGACTGACGTTTCGACAACCTTAGTGGTGGTCATTTTAAAAGTCTAGTGACAGAAGATGTTGTATATTTGTACCATTTTCACAGAGATACAAAAGCAATTGTGCTGTGTATGACACACATAAATTGACGTTTTCAATGTTCTTTTAAAAAGTGCTACGAGAAAGAGATGAAATACTACATCCAATATTCCTAATTCAAACTTGAATAGACATATTAAAATGATGCAACACATCATACAAATAATTTCAAAATGGTTTCACGCAGGCTCAGAGGATTACCCATAGTGAAATTATTTAATATACAAAATTAAGGCTAAGTGACACGTTTGTCACTAAGATTTATGAGATATCATGACTATACAAAAAATTAGAAGCTCTTTCTTTCCTTCTCGTCAAAACTATAATGACCAAGCCTAAAGAGTCAAATTTTTACAATTTTTCAAGTGTGTAAGTTAAACAGACATTAATGTTTTTGTCGTTTCAACAGACAAAATAGATGTATTTTTCGTTATCACTTACCATAGCATTGAGATCACAACAATATTTTCATTGATTCAAATATAACCCTTGAATTAAACTCTAAAATGGTTGACTTAATTAGTTAACAGGTGCAAAGAGTGATAAGAAAGTTGCTTGCTGCCATTTTGAATGAGGATTCTAACGTTGACATCCTTCAAACTGTTGGCTACATAAGTATTCCTCAAAGAGAAACATGCAAAAATGTCAATACCATTATATAAAGAGTCTTGCTTGGACTCATTACCATTGTTAAGAAGAGTTCCATCACTGTTTCAACATGTTTATTTTCTTCTGTTATGCATTTTTATTAAGACCATTATGTGTCAAAGACCAGCTAGGGAAAATCCTACCACAGTTGCTTCAAATAGAGCAAGGATTGGTAAATTGTGGAATATTGAAGTATATCAAGTTAAATCCTGACTTATGGAGAGTGCTGTTTGTGTGTGGAAATATATTTCAAGTATCAGCTGATTATATATTGGATCAAATACAAGTGGATTTCAGTTCATCACAACTTGAAAAGGAGAAGGAATTCGACACTTTCAAATATTTTGCTGATGTATTGGAAGCAATTGACAGTGGAAGTAATTATGGTGAACTTGTTTTCAATTAAAAGGGTGGCATGTCAGTTATTACATGTTGTGGGGCAAAAATTAATATTGTGCGCTTTTAGGTGTGGAGAATTTGTGCATGTCAGACTTTTTCAAATGACTCACCTGATCACCTAGAGTTTCCACCCCTTGGTTTGCACAAAAAATTCAAGGCTCGATTGCTCAAATCATGGATGTGAGGAAAATTTCAAAAGAAGGCCAACTGTTTGTACCTGTGATCTATGCATCAATCTCCCAGTACATATGAATAATGAGGCAACAATGATAGATATACTGTTTTTAGCTGTTAAAGATTCTCATGGATTTGGTCAACAATAAAGAAAATTTAAAAGAATCTCTGGCAAGATACATACAACCCAAATTAGATGATTTCTAATGCAAATGTTATTGCTAAAGCTCTATTTTGTTTTATTATAATTTTCACATTAGTTTAGGAAGTCAGGAAATTTGATCTTGCTATTAAATTTGTTTTGTGTTCACTAACTGTCTTAACAAGATTTCTAAAGACATAAATAACGATGTATAATGCTCTGAATCTTACACAAGATGACTGAACGTCAAGGCTGGCTATATTGCTGGATATTTTTGAATGCATTGTTTAAGTCTGTAGGTTCAGTAAAGTTTGAAAAACAATGGCCAAGTCACAGATTCATATTTTTATTTCATCTTATTTGAGTTTATGCAATATCTTGTAAGCTTTTGAAATATTGAAAAAGATCAGAGTGTTTTTTTGCATTTATAGGATATTCTAAATTTTTTTGATTGCATTAAGAAATGAAAGTAATCTTCATAATCCTCTTCTTTATTATCATCTAACAAACATTGGGGCTCAACCTCATCTATTTTGTCTTGAGAAACAGAGACAAGAAAATCCAAACCACAAATATTCTCAGGAAGGTAGTACAATATATTAAGTACTACTGGTATTGTATCATGGCGAGAACGTCTAATGTAATGACTGTTCTCTAATCTGTTATCTAATTCATTCTGAATGACTTGAAAAAAGTAAAACCACAAGCAGCTCATCTGAGAGTTTTTCCCAAGTTGCAGATTCCCTGAATCAACCGTATCTTTAAACATATTGATCCACAAACTAGAGTGATTTCGTCTGAAGTATGACACCCATCCTTTGATATGTTGATTTTAAGGAAAAGAGCTGTATTGAAAAATGTTTGTATTTCCATGTGCATCTTCATCTAGGGCCTGAAATAACATTGCATGGTTGCAATGAAACATTTTCTGTCCGACAATCTGAGCGTACTATATCTAGAAACCCCTTGAATTCCGGAAAAAATATCAAGGTATAACTTTGCAGGAATCTTTGGGTTATTATTAGATTTTACAACTTCTAGCCAAACTATCCTTCTACTGTAGCCACAAATGCATGCATGTATTGGGAATACATAGGGCTTTATCTTGTTGTAACCTAAAATAGTTTTAAAACATCAGACAATATGATAATAGAAGTGAAAAGATTACCATTCATAATATTTACCATCTATGTGCAACACAAAATTTGGTCCGAGTGAATAATATGTCCTTCGCTTAAGTCGGCTTGCCCTTCTTTCTTGTACTTCAATGTGATCAATTTCTTTCATCATAGTTGAAACAACGTGTCAAGTGATCACTCAACCTCGAACGCATGCCAGATTGATCTATAACCCGCAATTGACCCAAGCTTCTTCAATCTCCTTCACAACAGCTCTTCGAGCTATTGCTAGTTGAATTGTCCCTCACGACGCCTTAGACCATTTTCTTTCATTTTTAATGTGCTCAATTTGATGACAATTCCACGATCTATACAAAGTAGATCTACAATGTTATTATATGTATAACCATGATAAAATATTCCTCAATTATGTTGTATGTGACATCATCGCCATTCAAAGCATTTAGTTTTGAGCTAATAGACTGACCACATTGGTGGCAGAAATTAGCTTCTTCAATTAAGGCTGTACCACAAGAAGCACAAAACATATTTCTACGGAAATAGAAAAAGCAAGCAAAATGAAGTCAATGCTTTGCCGCCATTGAAACTCAATTATATTTTTATAGCATAGTTTAGATCTAAGTAAGCTTGTGCGCGCGAGCTCATATCTGTTTAATAAAAATGCAGCAACGATGAATAAAAATGCAGCAAAAATGAATAAAAATTCAGCAACGTTTATGAAAATTGTGCATTCACTTCACGTAATATAATGTTTTAAAAAATATTTGTGTGTTTCAAAAATATTTGTATGTTGCACTTGTGGGCCACCGTACTTTTCAACTGCCCATGTGTTAATTTTCTTTATTTCTTGATAGTGTAACCAGAATACATAAAATCGACTTTAATATTGCAAATGAAAATGGGACGTACTCTTAATTCAGTTTTCAGATCTTCCAAAAATTTCCTCAGCTCCTTCGTTGTAAATTACAACACATTCCTTTGCCATATTGAAACAAGCTTGCGTTTCGCAAAAATTTGTTACTCTTTGAATTTATAAATCTGGCTCCGCAGGTTTACTAAGTCATAGTAATTGTAAATCTTGCAAAATTATTAACCACAGAAACTAAGACCCTTTTAATACATAAAGCTGTTTCCCGTACCAAATCATATCATGCAGATCTTCCGCTAGTATAATTTTAAAAATCAGTTGACCAAAACATCGTATCGCGTTAAATCCCTTCACATTTCGCTGAAAAATTTTACATTAGATTGAATCGCTTTTCTTCACATTGAATCATTTCACTTTATATTAAATCATTTATGTAATGATCTATGAAAATGGATAAAAAAAATGGATAATTTACTTGCAACAAAAAGCGCTATTGATGGTCTTGAAGAAAACCCGAACAACGTTATTCTAAACCTCACCAACCAAAATGTTTCCCCTGAGCAGATTGTAGTTTTGAAACTTGGTCCCCGAAATGGTTTTGCTACACGACCTAATGAACTTATAATGCTGTCATTTGCAGAATATATTTGGGACCATATTGCCAGACTGAACCAATTCAAAGATGGAAACTCTGTTAGAGATAAGTTAAAAAACTTATAATTTACGTATAATTACTTCGATTTGGATTTAGAAAAATTCCATATTGATAGCAAACGTATTCGTATACTCAAGAAACTCAATAGGAATTACGTCATTCTGAAACCTGACAAAGGTAATGGAGTTGTCTTGTTAAACCGCTCTGATTATGTAAACTCTCTTAATTCTCTGTTTGAAAATCCGGTGAATTTAAGCGTGTTTCAAGTGACCTTACTTCTTGTAGACTCTCCACTCTACAGGTCCTATCTATGCACACTTCTAAAACGAGGTGAGATCAATGAAATTGAACATACTTTCTTACGACCTACTCAAGCGCACTTTGCCAGAGCACATGTACTACCTAAAACGCACAAACAATTTGACACATTACCTAAGTTACGACCAATAATTGAGACCACAAACACACCATTCTACAACGTAGGCAAATTTATTGCAAACCTTTTGAATCAACTCACCCTAAATAAATTTTCATTACAAGACTCTTTCGATGCTGCTGATACTATAGACCCATTGCATGTGACCTCATGCAATCCCGTTGACGTATACATCTGGAGGACAAGCAAACGTCACATGTAAATAACAAAGCAATGTTATTGTTTAGGATGGTTATCTTTTGCGCAGTTTATGGCTGCTCTAAGCATGCTGATAGGGATAAGAAATTAAGTTTTTATCATATACCACCTGTGAAAACCAATGCGAGCAAAATATCGCAAGATTAACAAAAGGAACGTCGTTCTTTTTGGCTTCGAAGAATTCATCGGGCAGACATAGACGATTCTAAATGCACGTATTTACGAGTGTGTACCCTTCATTTTGTTACTGTTAAGCCAAGAGTTAAAAAAGCTTTGTTGTGTTCGTTTGTGTCATTTTATACCATTTGTTGTTTTGTTTACAATGACAGGGAGACCAACGGCTTTAACGGACCAAACTAATCCAGACTGGGCTCCATCTCAAAACCTTGGACATACATATGTCGAAAGAGTTGATGCCGATCGCTATGCTCGTATTTCGGAAAGAAATGAAAAACGAAAAGATGTGCTAAACATTAAGCTTGTTAAATGAAATTAGAATAATTTACAAATATACTTACTTGATAGTAATAGGCATGAGTTCTTTTAAGTTGTTTTGTGCCATCACTTTTTACTTCAATGCAAAACAACCTGTCATCTGTTGAAATTTCAACTGTCTCATCTTTATGGCGAAATGGACACTATCAAAACAAAATCAATAGGTGATGTAATTATTATGTTGACCTTTTCTCCATAAAACATAGACACAATAATAACAAACCTTTATTTCACAAATCCCAGTGCAAAACATTGACAAGAGACAAGTCCATCTGGAGAAGCACCAAGAAATCCATGGGTGAAATGAATCCAGAATCCACTGTTTGTTACTGAAATATTTTCATGGTTTGTGTTTAGCCATTTCCATTATTCGTCTCTTGCCACCTCTTTATGCTGGCAACCCCATCTTGTTGCTGCAGTTGAAAATTTCTTCAGTTTTGGATAGCAAGTGCTTGTGATCAGAATCTTGGAAGGTGATTCTCTGTTGGTGCGACTAGCTGCTTTGAACCTTGAAGCAGCCACTCTTCCAGCACGAAATCGAAACCAAAGACGAGAATTCGCTGATCTCTAGTTTTTTTTCTACAGCTTTTTGCTGCTAAACTGTAACATTAAAGCAGTCCAGTTTCAAGTCTGATAATTCCAGCAAAGTTTCAAGTGATTTGTTTAATAGTGTGGGATCATAAAGATCACTCATGACTGGTGGCAAGTCAGAGTTCAAGGCTTTAGGTACATAACAATCAGGATATGGATGTATTAAAGAAAATATTGCTGGTTTTGATGAGGAAGAACTAATAGTTTTAAAATATTCATCCAATTCTGACAATGATGGGGCAGGAACTGGATTTCTTTGCATTTTGCCTTCGCATTTCTTATTAAATTTACTAAAATTTATATTCTGTA